AGCCATCCCATTAGATTGGGGGGGGGGAGGAAGCTGCTGACTTTAAGAGATGGCTATCTTAAAAAAAGCTTCTCCCAGAGTTTCTGAACCATGGCAGGTTGAAGATCTGGGGTGGAGAAAAGTCAACTCTTAGGATTTCCCAGGATTCCCCAAGCAGCATGCTGGGAGTGGAAGTCCAGCCCTCTTAAAGCAGGCTGGCTGGGGAATTCTGGGAATGGAAGTCCAGCCCTCTTAAAGTATTCTGGCTGGGGGATTCTGGGAGTGGAAGTCCCCCCCCTCTTAAAGCATGCTCGCTGGGGGATTCTGGGAGTGGAAGTCCACCCCTCTTAAAGCAGGCTGGCTGGGGGATTCTGGGAGTGGAAGTCCACCCCTCTTAAAGCAGGCTGGCTGGGGGATTCTGGGAGTGGAAGTCCACCCCTCCTAAAGCAGGCTGGCTGGGGAATTCTGGGAGTGGAAGCCCACCCATCTTAAAGCACGCTGGCTTGGGAATTCTGGGAGTGGAAGCCCACCCCTCTTCAAGCAGGCTGGCTGGGGGATTCTGGGAGATGAAGTCCACCCCTCTTAAAGCATAGCTGGATGGGGGAGTCTGGAAAGTTACTAACCGAACAACAGCAGTGATCACTTAACGGGACACAACTGGTTTAAGAAGTGTCTCGCTCAGCAACAGAAACTTCTAGGGCCCAATTGTCGCCGTAAGCCGAGGACAGCTCGTACTTGAAAAATAGAAGGGGAACAACTGCCTCTTCACACCGCCAAGCTGTGGGAACACCTTAATGAAACACGCAGCAGTGATATTTTGCAAAAGCAAGAAAAAGTTTTCTATCTAATGTTCCATCAGCTGGGCCAAGGCAGGTGTGCCGGACTTTTATTAGAGTTTAGTTATAAATACCCCATCTTGAGACACGCCAGGCGTTCGTTACTTTGCGCTGATAAGGGAGCAGCCAGGAAATGAAATCCTCTCCGAGGCGCCCGCCTTATCTCGGAATAAGCCTAAAATTATTACCGAACTAATAAAGTAATTTTGCTCTTTTTCTTAAAAAAAAAAAAAAAAAAACGATCTCTTTTTTTTTTTTTAAATGATAAACAGCCAGGCAGTAGATTTATTACGACTTCGTGGGGCTGTGAAATAATAATGGAAGTTTTTTTTTAAACTTTACCACCTCCCCGGGGTCACAAGGCTCACAATCGCAACAACAACTCCAAGCCCCACCCGTTTCTTGTTATAACCTCACGGCACCATTGCGTTGTGTGTGTCTGTGTGTGTGAGTGTGTGTGTGTGGTTTTTTTGTTGTTTTTTTTTTTTGAACCCTCCAGGACGGCACCGACATTGCCCATATTTTTTTTTAAATCTGGGGAAAGCCAAAATAGCCCTGGTTAAATTTCAAATTGGTCTTTGAAAAAACTGTTCTCGGTGCCCAGATGGCCCCGTTACAGCCATACAAGACTGCTGGATGGTAGCACCTGTCGACAAGGTGGCCTCACCTGGGAAAGGGAGACTAGGCTGGCGCTCCATCGCTCCCCCCCCCTCGTCCCCACCTGCCTGGAAAGGTGCTTTGCTTGGGGTGATCTTCAACATCCTGCAGCCGAGAAGGCTCCCCACCTATTTGCACCCCTCGGGTGACCCTGAGGGCACAGGTAAACCTCCAGGTGGCCTCAAGGACTCTCTGAAACAGTGCTTCTCAATCTTTTTAATGCCGCGACCCCCAACCGGTCGTAAGTCGAGGACGACTCAACCGGTCGTAAGTCGAGGACTACTCAACTGGTGCAGCACCGTTTGCAGACTGGGACTTTTGGCGGGCTCAGCAGGGCAGAGACAGCCTGGACAATTCCTATTGGCTTTTCAAAGCCAATAGAGTTAGACTCTATTCAAGAGAGTCTATTCTATTGGCTTTCAAAAGCCAATAGAATAAAAGGGAGTCACACAGCTAAGGAAAAGGGGGGGAAAAAATGGCGGACTGCGTTGTTTGGCGACCCCCGTGAAATGGTCGTTCGACCCCAAATGGGGTCCCGACCCACAAGTTGAGAACCACTGCTCTAAAAGAAGGCAAATGACCGGCTGTCTGCAAGGAGTATAAATCCTTCCACTCCCCACCATCCAGTCAGAGCTGAGGAAGCTTCTGGGATGAGAAGCGAAACGTCTTCAAAGGAAAAACAAGGAAGTCCAGTTATCTGGAGGCTAAAACATACAAAGAACGGTTGCTGGAATTGGGTCTGTCTACTTTAACGAAGAGAAGGACGAGGGGTGACAGGTTAGCAGCCTTCCAGTATCTCAGGGGCTGCCCCAAAGAAGAGGCAGTCAAGCTGTTCTCCAAAGCACATGAAGGCAGGACAAGAAGCAACGGGTGGAAACTCACCAAGGAGAGAAGCAACCTAGAACTAAGGAGAAACTTCCTTGCAATTGTCACATGATCAAAATTCCCGCACTTGGCAACCCAGGGTGTGTATATACAACAGTCATGGGGGGGGGGGCAGAGCCATCTGTTTAACCACCACACATGATCCACTTAAAGAAACGCAGTGGATTCGTTTAATAACAGTGGCAAGAAAGGTAGTAAAATTTGATGTGACTCACTTAACAGCCTGGTCCCCCAATTGCACTGGTTAAGTCGAGGACTGCCTGTACTTTGATGGCCAAGATAGGAGCAATGGGTCTACTGCAGTGTTTCTCAACCTTGACAATTTTAAGGCATGTGGACTTCAACTCCCAGAATTCCACAGCCAGCATTCTGGGAGTTGAAGTCCACATGCCTTAAAATTGTCAAGGTTGAGAAACACTGGTCTACTGTGTCTTTGCCTGGAAAAAAATAGCTTAAATTTTCTTTCTCACCCAGGGAAAATTAATAATGTAAACTAGGGTTTCATGGTGTGTAGCGCCCTCTACTGGAAAAAACACCTTTTAATCCTAGATTTTCAGAGTAGTCGATCAGAATTGATCTGGAAGGAACCCTGGAGGTCATCTAGTCCAGGGCTTTTCAAACTTTTCACCCACTGTATCACTTTTAGGATACGGCAACATCCGAGGACCACCAGGCGCCTAGCAAGGTGTCAAAAACTTGATGACCCCAAAAAAGGAAAAAAGTGATAAAGTACAGGTAGTCCTCGACTTACAACAGTTCGCTTAGTGACTGTTCGAAGTTACAATGGCCCTGAAAAAAGTGCCCCCCAAGCCACAGCCGAGCAAGACACCTGCCTGCCCGCCCAACCACACTCTTCCTCCTGTCCGAGGTTTTCATTGTTGTGAGCATTTCTGTTGAGGGTTGCAGCAGGGGTGGGGTGGGGGACTGTTTGGTTTTTGTTCCCCCCCGTCTGCTGAGTGGTTGCAGCAGTTTTGGTCCCTTCACATGATCCTGGGACACTGCGACCGTCATAAATATGAATCGGTTGCCAAGCATCTGAGTGTAAATCACAAGACCCTGGAGAGGCTGCAACATTCCAGCTGATCGGCGCTGCTTCTGGGCTCAGCAGAAGCGCCAGGATCAGCACTGAGCTCCAGCTGGAGCCTGGCGCTGATCCTGGTGCTTCCGCTGAGCCCTGACAGCCCCGAAGAAGCGCCAATCAACTGGAAAGCAGCACTGATCCTGGCGCTTCCGCTGAGCCCTGACAGCCCTGCAGCTCCAGCCGTCTCTCGCTCAGGCTTGTGCGGTGCTGCCACCGGTTCAGCTCATTCCCCTCTCCCGCTATCACTTTTCTAGGATGGTCGCGTACCACCTGCCAGGGGCCAATGGACCAGAGGTGGTACCTGTACCACTGGTTGAAAAGCCCTGATCTAGTCCAACCCCCTGCTCAGGCAGGAAACCCTACACCATTTCAGACAAACGGCTGTCCAGTCTCTTCTTAAAAACTTCCAGTGTTGGAGCATTCACCGCTTCTGGAGGCAAGGAGTTCCACGGGTTAATTGTTCTCACTGTTAGGAAGTTTCTCCTTAATTCCAGGTTGCTTCTCTCCTTGATTAGTTTCCATCCATTTTTTTTCCTGACCTGCCTTCAGGTGCTTTGGAGAATAGTTTAACCCCCTCTTCTCTGTGGCAGCCCCCCAATTACTGGAATGCTGCTATCATGTCACCCCTCGTCCTTTTTTTCTTTAGACTAGCCAAACCCAATTCCTGCAACCGTTCTCCATCTGTTTTAGTCTCCAGGCCTTTAATTATCCTAGTTACTCTTCTCTGCACCGCTTCTGGAGGCAGGTTGTTCCACAGGTTAATTGTTCTAACTGTCAGGAAGTTTCTCCTTAGTTCTAGGTTGCTTTTCTCTTTGATTAGTTTCCATCTGTTGCTTCTCGTCCTGCCTTCAGGCACTTTGGAGAATAGCTTGACTCCCTCTTCTTTGGGGCAGTCCCTCAGATACTGGAACACTGCTATCATGTCCCCCCTCGTCCTTCTCTTCGTTAAAGTAGACATCCCCAATTCCAGCAAACGTTCCTTATATGTTTTAGCCTCCAGTCCCCTGATCATCTTTGTTGCTCTTCTCTGTACTCTTTCCAGAGTCTCAACATCTTTTTTACATCGTGGTGACCAAAACTGGATGCCGTATTCCAAGGGTGGCCTTAACAAGGCCTTGTAAAGTGGTATTAACACTTTTATTTATGAGACTTATATACCGCTTTAAGTGCGAGCACTCTCTAACCGGTGTACACCAGTAAGCAATGTATATATATATATATATATATTTACATTGCCCCCAACAATCTGGGTCCTCATTTTACCTACCCCGGAAGGATGGAAGGCTGAGTCAACTTCACGTGATCTTGATTCTATACAGTGTACTATAAATCACCATTTAAATACAAACCACTGTTTACTGCATTGACTCTTGGGTTACCTCAGCGCAATAGGACCGTGCATGCTCTGACGGATTGGGACCGAGAGGTGAGACGCAAAACAAGGATGGGCCTCGGCCTAACTTAGGCTGGGTTGTTGCTACCTCGGGATGAAATGCATGCTTTGCAAGCAACACAAAAGAGCACACTCACACCGACTACACAAAGCCGCTTCAGCCACTGACCTCGTCGTCGGAGTCCTCCATAAACACAGCGTGCTTGACCAGTCCTTTCTGTTGAGCCTTCTTAGGAAATATAAGTCCATATCTGTGCAGAGAAAAATCAAAATTGAATGACTATGGTTTCACTGATTTGAGACTTTACATCCTGGCTATTGTCCAGGACCAAAAGGTACGAGCAGTCCTTGACTTACGACCTCAATTGAGCCCAGCACTTCTGTTGCTAAGCGAGACAAGTTGTTAAGTGAATGTTGACCCATTTTATGACCTTTCTCGCCACTGTTGTTAAGTGAAGGCCGGACAAGAAGCAACAGATGGAAACTAACCAAGGAGAGAAGCAACCTGGAACTAAGGAGAAACTTCCTGACAAGGAGGACAATTAACCAGTGGAACAGCTCGCTACCAGACATTGTGGGCGCTCCATCACTGGAGGTTTTTAAGAAGAGACTAGACAGTCATTTGTCCGAAATGGTATAGGGTTTCCTGCCTGAGCAGGGGGTTGGACTAGATGACCTCCAAGTCCCTTCCAACTTTATTATTATTATTGAGGATCATCGCACAGTCAGCCAGATGTTCAGACTGGATTAGCAACATCCTCATAGTCACGTGATCAAAATTCAGATGCCTAGCAACTGGTTTATTATCTAGGACAGTCGCAGCTTAGCTGGGACTGTAAGTCAAGGAGCACCTGGGTTATTAATGCTTTCACCAGAAAACGGCAGTCGGGATGTCAATATGAACTACAGTATTGTTTGCAGGATCCCATCTGGGTCGGTTCCCGGAACCAGAGGCATTGGTCTTCCGAGCTTTTGGAACTATGCCGGAGCGAACTGAGTATATTATTCTGGCTGCTTGCATCGTCAGCCAGATGTTTAGACTGGATTCGGCATTTTTATCTACCTATCGAGTGCTTGTGGTTAGTATTATTAGCCATGGTGACGCAGTGGTTAGAATGCAGTACTGCTTCTGCTGACTGCCGACTGTCGGCAGTTCAGTCCTGACCGGCTTGAGTTTGACTCAGCCTTCCGTCCTTCCGAGGTCGGTAAAATGAGGACCCAGATTGTTGGGGGCGAATAGGCTGACTCTGTAGATTGCTTAGAGAGGGTTGTAAAAGCACTATGAAGCGGTATATAAGTCTAAGGGCTGTTGCTTGGGGAGGGAGGGAGGGAGGAGAGGGAAGAAGGAAGGAAGGAAGGAAGGAAGGAAGGAGGAAGGGGGAGGGAGGGAGGAAAGGAGGGAGCAAGGGAGGGGGAGGATAGAAGAAGGGAGGGAAGGAGGAAGGGAGGGAGGGAGGATGGAAGGAAGGAAGGAAGGAGGAAGGGGGAGGGAGGGAGGAAAGGGGGGAGCAAGGGAGGGGGGAGGAAAGAAGGAAGAGGGGAGGGAAGGCGAAAGGGAGGGAGGGAGGGAGGAAGGAAGGAAGATGAGAAGGGGAACAAGGAGGAGAAGGAAGGAAGCCATGGTGGCGCAGTGGTTAGAGTGCCTTATTGCAGCCTGACTCTGCCCATTGCCGGAAATTCGATCCTGACCGGCTCAAGGTTGACTCAGCCTTCCGGCCTTCTGAGGTCGGTAAAATGAGGACCCAGATTGTTTGGGGGGGGGGGGAACAGGCTGACTCTGTAGACTGCTTAGAGAAGGCTGCAAAAGCACCGTGTATATAAGTCTATGTGCTGTTGCTTGGGGAGGGAGGGAGGAAGGGACGAGAGGGAGGAAGGAAGGAGGGAGGGAGGGAGGAAAGGAGGGAGGAAGGAAGGAAGGAAGAAGGAAGGAAACCATGGTGGTGCAGTGCTTAGAATGCAATATTGCAGGCTGACTCTGCCCACTGCCAGCAGTTCGATCCTGACCAGATCAAGGTTGACTCAGCCTTCCGTCCTTCCAAGGTCGGTAAAATGAGGACCCAGATTGTTGGGGGCGAATAGGCTGACTCTGTAAACCGCTCCGAGGGGGCTGTAAAAGGCTGTATAGAGCGGGTGCTGTTGGCATTGCTATTCTTATTATTACTGAATGAGACAGTTGGGGCGCATCACAATTATTTCTTTTCAGGAAAACAACTTGGGAAGTGTCCACCGAGGTGAATATTACTACTTTTTTAAACAGAAAAGAGGAGCAGGAGGGGCGCATCCATCAGGGCAATAGGGGTTACTTATTTTTTTATATAATTGTTGATTATTTTATGTTATTATTGTTGATATTATCATATTATTATTGAACAAAACAGTTGAGGAAGTTTCAACCCAGGCAAATCTTTCTCTCTCGTGTGTGTGTGTGTGTGTGTGTGTGTGTGTGTACACAAACACATAAGAGAATATAAAGAATTCATTTTGAACGTCTTGAAAACCTCAACCCAGCCAAATCTTCATCATCATATAATAATAATAATAATAATAATAGGAAAAGAGCAGTGGATGGGATTATTATAATATCATATAATAATAATAATAATAGGAATGTGATGATTATTATATTCCCATATTTTTATACCTAGGCAACACACTGTGCAATATAGAAATGGAATTTTTAATAAATAATAATAATAACAACAGCAACAACAATAATAAAGAACTGGAGAAGATAACAAAATACAAAGACCTACAAATAGAAATAGAAAGACTGTGGCAAAAGCAAGCAAGGGTAGTACCAATAGTAATAGGCTCCTTGGGTGCAATCCCAAAACAACTGGAGCACCACTTGAACACCATTGGCATTGACAAATTCGCTATTAGTCAATTGCAAAAGGCGGCCTTACTAGGAACTGCTTCCATCCTGCGACGATATCTGTAATACCATCAAACATCCACATCTGCCTATCCCAGGTCCTGGGTAAGGACTCGATAGGTAGACAAAATGCCAAATCCAGTCTGAACATCTGGCTGACTGTGCGATGATCCATAATAATAATAGGAAAAGATCAGTGGGTGGGATCAGCATCCAGAGGGAAACCTTTAATGTTGCTGTGATGAAAACAGCCATCATTAACAGGATATTTTTATGGACTATATTTTTCCATATTTTTCTTTTATTAATCCGATTTTAAAACCGCGGAGAAGGGGGCCAAGTCCAAGTTCAGCAACCCGCGTCTCGGACTCCTGTAGAATTTAATCATAAGATTATAATAATAATAATAACAGTAGTAAAGTTGGAAGGGACCTTGGAGGTCATCTAGTCCAACCCCCTGCTCAGGCAGGAAACCCTACACCATTTGCGGACAACTACACCATTTCGGACAAGATTAATTACGCCATTATAATTCATTAATCCCCTCCTGTGGAATTTCATCTTAAAAGAGTTTATTGCAAATATTGCCAATATTTTTTTCCATCTCCGCACAGAACCAAACCTCCAAATTTGGGGGCGGGAAATCCCCCCCCAACTGTGGAAACCGACCCCTCCCCAACGAAAAGTCCTGTGGGGGGGATGTCCCAGGATTAGGGGGAGGCCTAGCTCGCCCCCCCAACTCGAGACCCCCAGAATGCCGGCCTGGGGGGGGGCTTCCCGGGACCTCCCCCCCCCACCTCGGGCCTGGCGCTCGAGTAGGCCGCGAGGCCCGACTAGGTTTTCCCGCTGTCTCCCTCCGCCCCCTCCCACCGCGGCCGCCGTCTGCCCATGCTCAGAGACCCCCTCGTCCGTCGCCGACGCCCAGGCCGGGCTTACTGTTTTCCGGGCGCCGCCATCTTGGGAGGCCGGGATTGCGCCACGCCACGCCCTTCAGGCCACGCCCCCTCCAAGCCCCGCCCTCGCCCCGAATTCCTCCTTGCTCTGCACGCGCCCGGAGGGATCTCTCGCTCGCTCGCTCGCTCGCTCCACCCCTTCTCGGGGGGGAGGGGGAAGGGAGAGGAGGGAGGCGTTGTGCGCATGCCCAGCCCAGCCAGTGCACCCTGTCCGAAAATGGGGGTAAACTAGAGAAAAAACTTTCCACCCCCCACCAATAAAGGGGTCATCTTCTGAGATTATAATTTGAACTTAATTAACTAATTTTAATTTTTTTAAATTTAATTAATTTATTAAAAAAAAATTTAGTTTTGGAAAGCAAGGTCTGCCAAACAAGGAAAGTGGGTTTTTTAAATTTAATTTGAAATGTCCCTTTGAAAAGGTTTAATTTGAGAGGAAATGATATTTTTATATATTTGTCTCCATCCATCCATTCATCCCTCCTTTGATCTATCATCTATCTACCTACCTACCTATCATTTATCTTTTATCATTTCATCTCTCTCTTTTTATATATATATATATTATCTGTCTATCTGTATCATATCTATCATCTATATCACTATCATCTCTCTCTATTATCTATATCATTCCATCTCTCTCTTTCTCATCTATCTATCATCTATCTATCTCTATTATTTATCATCTATCTATATTATCTATATCTATCATCTATCTCTATTATCTATCATCTATCTATGTATCTATTATCTATCATCTATCTCTATTATCTATATCATCTATCTATCTATTTATCTATCTATCTATCATCTGGATCTATCTCCTGGATTGTCTGTCTATCTGTCTATCTCCCTCTCTCTCTATTATCTATCTATCTATCTATCTATCTATCTATCTATCTATCTATCTATCTATCTATCTATCTATCTATTTGTCTCTCTATTATCTATTATCCATCTATATCTATCTCTATCTATCTACCTATCTATCTATCTATCTATCTATCTATCTATCTATCTATCTATCTATCTATCTATCTACTTATCTATCTATCTATCTATCATCTCCTGGATCTATCTCCTGGATTGTCTCTGTCTGTCTCTCTTTCTCTCTCTCTCTCTATCTATCTCTATCTCTCTATCTATTATCTATTATCTCTGTCTCTCTCTATCTATCTATCTATCTATCTATCTATCTATCTATCTATCTATCTATCTATCTATCTATCTATCTATCATCTCCTGGATCTATCTCCTGGATTGTCTGTCTGTCTGTCTGTCTATCTATTTATCATCCATCTATCATGTACCTATCATCCATCCATCATGTATGTGTTTCACTTTGAGAACGGGCAACTAAATTTCGTTTTTGATGTGTGCCATTGTGCCCACAGTATAAAAATGACAATAAAGATTATCTTATCTTTCTATCTTTCTATATCTATCATCTACCTATCATCCATCTATCTGTCTGGCTATCATCTATCATCTATCTATCCTATCTATATCATCTATCATCTATTTATCTAACTATCATCTATCATTTATCATCCATCATCTATCTATGTATCTATCACTCAACAAATTTCTCGCTTAGCAACAGTTGGGCTCAACTGGCGTCCTAAGTGGAGGACTGCCTGCATTTTCAATAAAATGGCCTTGTTTCTTGGTGGACAAAACTCTTGGCACCGAGCACAACTCCATGGTTGATGCAACTAGTAGTAGTCATACCACTCTGTGCAGTAAATTAAAACAATCCTGTTTTTCTGGTGCAGGTGCCCTGGGGTGCTTCTTCAGACAATGGGTCACCTGGTGTGTAGGCCTCATGTTGTGCGTTGTGAAGTTTGCACCTGCAGCTCTGGCTTTTTTGCGCTTGAGGCTTAGCTTTGGGGGGGCAGCAGGTGTGGGCTCTCCTCCCCTGATGGTCTCTGGGCACCGCTTGTCCTCAGGTGTGCTGGTTCACCTGCTTCTCTTCTTCCTGGAGAAGATGGCGTTGTCTGGTCAATGTCATTGCAATGCATCGGTGAATCAGTTGAGGTTGTAAGCCAGGGTTGGTCAACCTTGGCTCTTTGAAGATGGGTGGACTTCAACTCCCAGCATTCCCCATCCCTCTTAAAGCATGCGGGCAGGGGAATTCTGGGAGTGGAAGTCCACCCATCTTCAAGCAGGCTGGCTGGGGGATTCTGGGAGTGGAAGCCCACCCCTCTTAAAGCAGGCTGGCTGGGGGATTCTGGGAGCTGAAGCCCACCCCTCTTAAAGCAGGCTGGCTGGGGGATTCTGGGAGTGGAAGTCCCCCCCCTCTTAAAGCAGGCTTGCTGGGGGATTCTGGGAGCTGAAGCCCACCCCTCTTAAAGCAGGCTGGCTGGGGGATTCTGGGAGTGGAAGTCCCCCCCTCTTAAAGCAGGCTGGCTGGGGGATTCTGGGAGCTGAAGCCCACCCCTCTTAAAGCAGGCTGGCTGGGGGATTCTGGGAGTGGAAGTCCACCCCTTTTAAAGAATTCTGGGAGTCGAAGTCCATCCCTCTTAAAGCATGGCTGGCTGGGGGATTCTGGGCGTGGAAGTCTACCCACCTTCAAGTGGCAAAGGTTGAGAACCATTTGCTGTGAGCCCTTCTCCAAAGGGCTCCTGCTTCGTCAGAAAACAACTCCATGTCACCCAATTGCAGCAGATGAGTGGTACAACCCCTACTCAGTCTATTCCCCCCCCCCCGTCCCTCCTCCATCTGCTCACTTTGGTCCGAAGTTCCCATGTCTCAGAATTTACAGAACAGAGTTGGAAGGAACCTTGGAGGTCATCTAGTCCAGTGATGGCGAACCTTTGAGAGACCGAGTGCCCAAACTGCAACCCAAAGCCCACTTATTTATCGCCGGGTGCCAGGTGGGCGTGGCTCACTGGGTGGGCGTGGCTGTGGTGGTCATAGCAGATTGGGTGGGTGTGGCCAAGTTGGGCGTGGTCTCCTCGATGTTGCTGATGGGGAGGGACACCTGTGGGGGCCGGGCAGGGTTGGGGGAGATCCAGGGGGTCTCTGGCAGGTGGGGCGGTGGGCAGGAGGCTCGTCCTGTGGGAGAGGCGAGGCAGGGCTGGGTGACATTGTCGCAGGGCAAGGCGAGGCAGGGGCCAGGGGGGCTGCTGCCTGACACCACCAGCCCTCGCACACAGAGGCCAGCGAGCGCCTGGGTGCTGGGATGCATCCGGCCACGTGGGACCTCGGCGAGTTAGTGGATGCCTGGTTGAAGAGAGACCATTGCCATCTCCGGCGTATGGCGTGCGTGCCCACAGAGAGGGCTCTGAGCGTCGCCTCTGGCACGCATGACATAGGTTCGCCACCACTGCCCTACACCATTTCAGACAAATGGCTGTCCAGTCTCTTCTTAAAACCTTCCAGTGTTTGGAGCATTCACCGCTTCTGGAGGCAAGGAGTTCCACTGGTTAATTGTCCTCACTGTCAGGATGTTTTTCCTTAGTTCTAGATTGATTCTCTCCTTGATTAGTTTCCATCCGTTGCCCTTCCTTCTTCCCTATAATTTTTCCTTCCTCTCTCCTTCCTTCCTTCCTTCCCCTCCCTCCCTCTCTCCTTTCCTTCCTCCTCCTTTCCTTCCTCCCTTCCTTCCTCCCTCCCTCTCTCCCTTCCTTCCTTCCTCCCTCTTCCTTTTCTTCCTTTCTCCCTCCCTTCCTTCCTCCCTCCATCTCTCCCTTCCTCCCTCTCCCTCCCTCCCTCCCTTTTCTTCCTCCTTCCCTCCTCCCTCCCTCTCCTTTCCTTCCTCCCTCCCTTCCCCTCCCTCCCCTTCTCCCTCCCTCCCTTCCTTTTCTTCCTCCTTCCTCCCTCCCCCTCCCTTCCTCTCCCATCCTCCCTCCCTCCTCCCTCTCTCCCTCCCTCCCTCCCTCCCTCCCTCTCTTTTCTTCCTCCCTCCCTCACTCCCTCCCTCCCTCCTCCCTCTCTCCCTCCCTCCCTCCCTCCCTCCCTCTCTTTTCTTCCTCCCTCCCTCACTCCCTCCCTCCCTCCCTCCCTTCCTTCCTTCCTCCCTCCCTCCCTCTCTCCCTCCCTCCCTCCCTTCCTTTTCTTCCTCCCTGCCCCTACAATCATTGGTCTGGAAGGGACCTTGAAGGTCTTCTAGTCCAGCCCCCTGCTCAGGCAGGAGACCCTCTACCATTTCAGACAGGTGACCCTCTTCTGAGAAGCCAAGTCCAGGGGAAAGCCAGATTCACTTAACAACTGCATTCCTCATTTAACAACCGCACTGATTCACTTAACAACCGGGGCAAGGAATGTGGGGCCAAAACTCACTTAACAAATTTCTCACTGAGCAACATACATTTTGGGTTCCACCGCGGTTGTAAGTCGAGGACTACCTGTACATGAGCATTTCATTAAAAGCCGCCGTTTGTCTTCTCTGCCTCAGGAAGAGATTGCAAAATTTATTTCCAGAATTTATCGTTTCTCTCCCCGCCGTCTTCCTGATATTAAACCCCCCACCCACCCCCACCCCGGCTCTCGAGGCGGCTGATAATCAAAAGGATCGCCCGTTGTAATAACACCACAACATATTTATCGGGAAGCTTTGTAATCAGCTTGTAATCTCCAATTACAAAACGGCTGGCCAGATAAGACCCTGTGCTTTGTCAGAAAGGGGGCGACAAGGATTTTAATTTCCCCCCAATTTTATTAAAAAAAACCCAAGGCTGCCGAAGATAGCGGGAGCGGGGCTGTCATCTCCGTCCACCAGCCAGTGGGAAAACTCCTCCTTCCCTTCCAGAGGCGGTTAAGTTGGGGAGGAAGGGAAAGACTCCCCTTCCTTCTCCGTCAAATCGGAATAATTTCCCCAAAGCGGCTAAGGGGTGCAAATCTTTCGCGCAGCCCAACTCCTTTCAACGTTGACCTTTGTGGGTCGCGAGAACTCAGCTGCTTTTTCACCTGCCTGCCTTGTACCGCAAACTCTCTCTCTCTCTCTCTCTTTCCCTATCCAAACGTTTCCGAATTAAAGTCGAGAACTATAATTCCCAGCTGGGAAATCAGGCGCGCCGCACACTGAACGAAGGCAGTGAACTTGGGGAGGGTGGGTGGGGGGCCCTGCAACTTGGATCGCGCGGTTAGAGAACAGAGGCGGAGCGGAGAGACGAGATTTGCGACGAGCGGATGGACAGAGACAAGGTGGGCGTCCAAAGGGCCGAAGCCGAGCTGCTCATGCTGTTGTGGTGCTGAAGTTTCTTGGACATTTCGATCAGGGACAAGCAGGTGCATGTCCAGTTGTAAAGGTACTCCAGCGGAGCCGAGCCGAACCTCCAGACCGCTTTCCTGCGTGCGCCTAGTTGGGTTTCGGAAAGACAGAGACACATCCCAGATTAGTGGAGGTTTTTAAGAGATTGCAGAGTCACTTATCTGAAATGCTATACCAGTGGTGGCGAACCTATGGCCCGGGTGCCAGAGGCGGCACTCAGAGCCCTCTCTGTGGGCACGCGCGCCATCGCCCCAGTCCTAGGCCTTCAGCTGGGTTTTATAAAACCTTTGCGCTTTAGGCCTCCGCAAAAAAAAATAAAGGTTCAATCAATCAGTCAATTTCAACTTCTCGTGGGGAAAAAAAAAAGATCTTGCAAAGTTGGAATTGATTGATTGAACTTTTTAGTCCCACCCAGTCTGCAGTTACCACCGCAGCCATGTCCACCCAATGGGCCACACCCACCCAATGGGCCACACCCACCCAATGGGCTACACCCACCTAGCACCCGACGATGCATAAGTGGGTTTTGGGTTGCAGTTTGGGCACTCGGTCTCTAAAAGGTTCGCCATCACTGTGCTATAGGCTCTCCTGCTTGAGCAAGGGAGCTGGACTAGAAGACCTCTAAGGTCCCTTCCAGTTCTATTCTATTCTATTCTATTCCATTCCATTCCATTCTATACTATTCCATTCCATCCCATTCTATTCTATTCTATACTATTCCATTCCATTCCATTCCATTCCATACTATTCCATTCCCTCCCATTCTATTCTATTCTATACTATTCCATTCCATTCCATTCCATTCCATTCCATTCCATTCTATACTATTCCATTCCATTCCATTCCATTCTATACTATTCCATTCCATTCTATACTATTCCATTCCATTCCATTCCATTCTATACTATTCCATTCCATTCCATTCTATTCTATTCCATTCTATTCTATACTATTCCATTCCATTACATTCTAATCTATTCCATTCGATTCCATTCCATTCTATACTATTCCATTCCATTCCATTCTTTTCCATTCCATTCCATTCCATTTTATTCTATATTATTCCATTCCATTCCACTCCATATATTCTGTTCTGTTCTGTTCCGCGTGCCTCATTTTACAACCGGCTTGTTTGGCAATGGCCATTCTGATGCCGACTGTGGTCCTAATTTGAGGACTACCTCTACATTCGCCCATTCCTCCATTTAAAAGGCTGATGGGGACATGGGGGACGGTTCCTAAGAACGAACAGGTACCTGGAAGGTTCCTCAGGGACGTCTGAATCCCACCCCATCAGTTCCTCCTTAACATATATAAAAATGGTTAAATAAATAAATAAATTGGAATTCGGCAACATAGTGAGCTTTGCAGCCTTTGGGGTATAAACGTGTACCCTGAATTTATTTGTTTATTTATTAAGAACGCTTTTCTATGGCCACCCAAGCGATTCATGGTGACTCCAGGCGGCTTATAAGAATAACCCCCCCCAATACAAAAGCCCATGAACCCCCCCACCCTCCTTGGTGACAGCAATCAAACAAACCATTTGATGGTCTCTGTATCCCCCTGGGGTCTCCAGGCCTGCTGGCAGAACCCCTTCCACGGGGCCCTTTGGAAGAGGGTCCAAGTGGGGGCCAATCTTATCTCTGCAGGGTTGATGTTCCACAGGGAGGGAGCCACCATGCAGAAGGCCCTTCTTCTGGGTCCCACCAGGTGGACCTCCTGAAGGGAGGGGACCCATAACGTCTTATTTCCAATCTTATCTCTGCAGGGTTGATGTTCCACAGGGAGGGAGCCACCACGCAGAAGGACCTTCTTCCTGGTCCCACCAGGTGGACCTCCTCAAGGGAGGGGACCCATAACGTCTTATTTCCAATCTTATCTTGGCAGGGATAACGTCCTGCAGGGAGGGAGCCACCACGGAGAAGGCCTTTCTTCTGGGTCCCACCAGGTGAAACTCCTTAAAGAGGAGAGACGCATAACATCCCCCGCCTCCCTCCTCTGGTATGGTCAGGTGGATATAATTGGGAAAAGACGGTCCTTCAAATAACGAGGGAGCCACCACGGAGGAGGCCCTTCTTCTGGGTCCCACCAGGTGGACCTTCTTAAAGGAGGAGACCTCTGCTGACTCCCGCATCGGGTGGCTTACTGTTACCTTTCAGGCAGCTGTACAGCACCTCCGGCCGGACCTCCACGTAGGAAGCCGTGGGGTCAAAGTAGCAAATGTTTTCAATAAGTTCTCCATCGAGTTTCTGCAGAAAGGCAAAGGAGAGGAGAAGGTCAACAGGATCAGAGCTGAAAGGGCTGCAGAGCACGTTCTCCTCTGCAATGGGAGGGAGGGGGCTACAAAAATAGGAGGTGAGCACAGAGAGGGCAATTGATCGCAGTTCTGCTTTCGGAGGGTGTGTGTGTGTGCCTTGGTGTCCCTTAGAGACTGGGCTCTGTTTATTTGTCTGAGATGGTAGAGGGTCTCCTGCCTGGGCAGGGGGCTGGACTAGAAGACCTCCAAGGTCCCATCCAACTCTGTTATCCTATCCTATCATATTCTATCCTATTGTACCCTACCCTATCCTATCCTATCCTATTCCCTATTCTGTTCTGTTCTGTTCTATTCTATTCTATTCTATTCTATTCTATTCTATTCTATTCTATTCTATTCTATTCTATTCTATCCTATTCTATTCTATTCTATTCCATTCCATTCCATTTTATTCTTATTTTAATTCTATTCTATTCTATTCTATCCCATAATTCTATTCCATTCCATTCCATTCTACTCTATTTCATTCCATTCCATTTTATTCTTATTTTAATTCTATTCTATTCTATTCTATCCCATAATTCTATTCCATTCCATTCCATTCTACTCTATTCCATTCCATTCCATTTTATTCTTATTTTAATTCTATTCTGTTCTATTCTATTCTATTCTATTCTATTCTATTCTATTCTATTCTATTCTATTCTATTCTATTCTATTCTATTCTAATCTATTCCATTCCATTCCATTCCATTCTACTCTATTTCATTCCATTCCATTTTATTCTTATTTTAATTCTATTCTATTCTATTCTATCCCATAATTCTATTCCATTCCATTCCATTCTACTCTATTCCATTCCATTCCATTTTATTCTTATTTTAATTCTATTCTATTCTATTCTATTCTATTCTATTCTATTCTATTCTATTCTATTCTATTCTATTCTATTCTATTCTATTCTATTCTAATCTAATCTAATCTAATCTATTCTTATTCATTAAATTTATGTGCCCCCTATCTCGCTGTCAAGCTGACCACATCATAAAAGCAAAAGTAGAAGACACTAAAAAATGAAAATCTTAAAATATTGGCAGGGACCAAAACTAGATAGGTTAGGAATAAGAACACGGGCCGTTCTCGACTTCCCATTCATTTCATGACCGTTCAAAGTCAGCCCGGAACTGAGAAAAGTGACAATGACCACTTTTCACACTTAACGACCTTTACAGCATCCCCATGCTCCTGTGATCCAAATTCAGTCCCCTGATCAGAATTCGAACGCTTGGCCACTGACTCGTATTTATGACGGTCGCAGTGTCCTGGAGGGGTCACGTGATCCCCTTTTGCAAATTTCTGCCAAGCAAAGTCAACAACTGTGCCAAGACAGGTTGTAAAATGGGAGAAAACTCTCTTCCCCAATGTCTCGCTTAGCAACACAAATTTGGGAGCCAATGGTGGCTGTAAGCTAGAGGACTACCTGCGCTGCAAGAATGGCTGCAGACTGCTTGCCTTCTCCCGGGAATGGCCTAATAAGGCTTCGTGGATCTCGGGGAAGGTCAAGCTTTTGTCTTTTGCGGCTGTATAGAGACTCCAAGCTAGCAGCTCGCTTGACTCCTCCATCCATCCAGCCTGGCTGGCTGTGTGAGTGTATGTGTGTGTGTGTCTCACCTGTATGCAGGCGCTCCACTTCTCCACCTCCTCCGTGCCGGCCCACTGCGGGTACAAAATAAGCACCACACATTTTAAGATGATGTGGACCAGGGCTGGGGGTTTCTCCAAGGATCGGATATCGCCGAAGGAGGTCCAGGGATCAAGATTCCACATGCAGTGCTGTAGATCCTGCAGCATGAAGCGGTAGAAGAGGACCCCTCCGCGCCGCCAGTCCCCAACGTATTCAGCCTCTGCAACAGTAAAGGGGGATTTTAAGGAAGGGTTTTCTGGGGCCTCAAATGAAGAGCTTAGCGAGTTTAAGAGGAGTGGGCTTCCACTCCCAGAATCCCCCAGCCAACATACTTTAAGAGGGGTGGGCTTCCACTCCCAGGATTCCCCAGCCAGCATGCTTTAAGAGGGGTGGGCTTCCACTCCCAGAATTCCCCAGCCAGCATGCTTTAAGAGGGGTGGGCTTCTACTCCCAGAATCCCCCAGGCAGCATGCTTTAAGAGGGGTGGGCTTCCACTCCCAGAATCCCCCAGCCAGCCTTCTTTAAGAGGAGTTGGCTTCCACTCCCCGAATCCCCCAGCCAGCCTGCTTTAAGAGGGGTGGACTTCAACTTCCAGAATGCCCCTAGTTAGCCTTCAAAACAGATTTGCTAGCCCTCCTCCAATATCAGACTGGATTTGCCACGGAATGTCAAAATGTTCTTTGTCATTCCAGATTAGAGAACTTAGACTAATGAATTTATGTTGCAAGAAAGTCAATTCTGGCTCAAAGTTCGGAAAAAAAAGCAACTTCCTGGTAATGAGGCCAGATCCAACATGTGTGGGAAGTCAGCCCCCCCCCCAGAGAAGGAAATATTAAAAGGGCAGAATATTATATTTCCTCAAAAGGTCTTAAAGAGGCAGAAAAGCATGCCCAGTTTTTTCTGAATAGCCCCAAGCCTCCCTCCACCGAGCAGAAAGCAGCTCTGTAGAAATGCAGATGTGATAATCCATTCAGAAAGGTTGGAGGCCTCCAGCTAGAAGCTTAGGAAGACAAAGAGACCTAAAATCTACACACCCCACCCAAACTCTGAAGACAGGACATAATAGGATTAACCCACAGATGCCAAAGGGTACACAGGTCAAAATACATGACACAGGAAATACAAAGCCTCAAACAGGAACAGGAAACAACCTCAAGAGCCCCAGAGGGTATAAAAACCCACTCCCTACATGTGCTCCCTCTCTCTTTTCTTCCAGAGCCATCTTCCTGTCTGGCTCTCCTCCTCTTTCTAAAGCAGTTGCCATGTCGTTTATTCCCGGCTTGGACTGAACCCTGATGAAGATTTTTCCTTCAACACAGGGAAGCCGCAATCCAGAAGAACTGTGGCATTTTCTTCACGGCATGGTTTCAGAAGAGATTAGAGAGCGATCCGTCCGAGATATTTTAATTTGAACTCCTTAAATCAGTGGTTCTCAACCTGTGGGTCGGGACCCCATTTGGGGTTGAACGACCATTTTACGGTCGCCAAACAACGCAGTCCGCCATTTTTCCCCCCTTTTCCTTAGCTGTGCTACTCCCTTTTATTCTATTGGCTTTTGAAAGCCAATAGAATAGACTCTCTTGAATAGAGTCTAATTCGATTGGCTTTCCAAAGCCAATAGGAATTGTCCAGGCTGTCTCTGCCCTGCTGAGCCCGCCAAAAGTCCCATTCTGCCAACGGTGCTGCACCAGTGGAGTAGTCCTCGACTTACGACCGGTTGAGTAGTCCTCGACTTACGACCGGTTGGGGGTCACGGCATTAAAAAGGTTGAGAAACACTGCCTTAAATTTTATTCCTGCACTGGACAATGCTGGATTCCATGTCCCGATTCTAAGATTTTAAGTCAATAAATGGGCCCCTTACCCAAGACGTAATATGGTTCCAGATCTCCGGAATCCTCTTTCAGGATCTCGTGAGTGGCGGCTTGCGCCATCTTCACCATCTTCTGCAAGTCTTTGTGGGCACAAGGTGACAGCTGCTGCCGGGGTCCGAGATTGAAGTCCAACATCATGATAGCTTGGCCGTTTGTGTTCCTCAGTGGCACCGCAATGTGTTGTTCCCCGTTGATGCGTTGAGTCACCACCAGAGCGCAGTCTATGCACTTGAAGAGGTAATCTCTGAAACACAGGGCAACTTAAGACAATGAGGAAGTGTTGGTGTCAACATCCAGCTCGACGATCCAAATCAAACTCCAGGTTCGTTCCGCCTCCGAAAACCGCCCTGTTTATTGAGTACACTGCACGGGTTATGTCGAAGCGAAACTCACTCTGAGGCTTCAAACCCAATTCATAGACTTAAACAATCGTTTTCCCAGCCAATGGGGACCATCATCCAGTCCAAACAAACCATGCCATACCAATGAAGGAGAATAGTAATAACTGTGAGAGGGACCTCGGAGTCCTAGTAGACAATCACCTAAATATGAGCCAGCCGTGTGCTGCAGCTGCCAAAAAGGCCAACACAGTGCTTGGCTGCATTAACAGAGGGATAGAATCAAGATCACGTGAAGTATTAATACCACTCTTCAATGCCTTGGTAAGGCCACACTTGGAATACTGCATCCAGTTTTGGTCACCACGATGTAAAAAAGATGTTGAGACTCTAGGAAGAGTACAGAGAAGAGCAACAAAGATGATTAGGGGACTGGAGGCTAAAACAGATAAGGAACAGTTGCTAGAATTGGCTATGTCTAGTTTAACGAAGAGAAGAACAAGGGGGGACATGATAGCAGTATTCCAATATCTCAGGGGCTGCCATAAAGAAGAGGGAATTAAGCTATTTTCCAAAGCACCTGAAGGCAGGACAAGAAGCAACGGGTGGAAACTAATCAAGGAGAGAAGCAACCTAGAACTAAGGAGAAACTTCCTGACAGTGAGAACAATTAACCAATGGAACTCCTTGCCTCCAGAAGCAGTAAATGCTCCAACACTGGAAGTTTTTAAGAAGAGACTGGACAGCCACTTGTCCGAAATGGTGTAGGGTTTCCTGCCCGAGCAGGGGGTTGGACTAGATGACCTCCAAGGTCCCTTCCAACTTTACTACTACTATTATTATTATTAATATTTGTCGTTCAGGATTGAAATGAGGGGTCCCTGGTGTTCTCTGAGCTCGTTTTCTTGCAGACGTTTCATGACCTTAACTAGGTAACATTATCAGTGCTAGGAGGAGAAGGAACAGAAGGAAGTGGACTGTGGGGTCCTTGGTGCTCTCTGAGCTTGTTTTCTTGCAGACGTTTCATGACCCTAACTAGATAACATCATAGAGGAGGAGGAGGAGGAGGAGGAGGAGGAGGAGGAGGAGGAGGAGGAGGAGGAGGAGGAGGAGGACGATGACTGTGGAGTCCTTGGTGCTCTCTGAGTTTGGTGATTTTCTTGCAGACGTTTCATGACCCAACTAGGGAACAGAATCAGTGCTAATTTAAAACACCAAGGATTCAGAGAATACCAAGGACCTCTCAATTGTGGTCATAAGTTGGACCACTAGCAGACCTCCATGGTTCCTCCCCTGTTATTCTATGGATGGATGGATGGATGGATGGATGGAAGGAAGGAAGGAAGGAAGGAAGGAAGGAAGGGTAATGGATGGAAACTAATCCAGGAGAGAAGCAACCTGGAATTAAGGAGAAACGTCCTAACAGTGAGGACAATTAACTAGTGGAACAGCTTGCCACCAGAAGTTGTGGGTGCTCCACCACTGGAGGTTTTTAAGAAGAGACTGGACAACTATCTGTCTGAAATGGTTGAGGTCCTCCTGACTGAGCAGGGGGTTGGACTAGATGACCACCAAGATCCCTTCCAACTCTGTTATTCTGTTAACTAACACAGAGGTCCCCAACCTTTTGGGCACCAGGGACCACCGGTTCCGTGGACAGAGGTTTTTCCACAGACCGGAGAGTGCATGGTTTTGTGTGCTGCCTGCATCCCACGGATGGGGCTTTGCTTGTTTGTGCGGCCCGCTTGCTGGCGTGCCACGTCCCGGGGGTTGGGGACCCCTGCCTTAAGGGTTCTGCCTCAAAACACCTGGAAGGGGATCCGGTGGGGGTCTTCAAGCATGGATAACAATAACATAATGGAAGGGACCTCGGAGGTCTTCTAGTCCAGCCCCCCTGCTGAAGCAGGAGATCCTACACCATTTCTGACAAGATGGCTGTCCAGTCTCTTCTCGAAAACCTCCACTGAGGGGACACCTGCAACGTCTGGTGGCAAGCTGTTCCACTGGTTCATTGTTTCCACAGTCAGGAAATTTCTCCGTAATTCTCTCCTTGATCGGTTTCCATCCGTTGCTGCTTCTTGTTCTGCCTTCTGGTGCTTTGGAGAACAGGTGGACCCCCCCCTCTTCTTTGAAGCAGCCCCTCCAATGCTGAAATACTGCTATAGTGTTACTTATTGCTATAGTATTATAGTAATGTACTTTGCATTAAGCTTATAGGTAAAGTTCAGCAACTCTGACCCCTACTGGCCAACATAGGTACAGCATGACAACTCACCACAGCCAACTGGTTGTGGGACAAAAGTTACACTAACATCAAAGAAAAGGTGGACTAGAATCGGGAAAGAAAGGATGGAAAAAGGAGGGATGGAATGAAAGGTGAACGTCAAAATTAAAATTGTTATTTTAAACAATTGAATTGAATTCTTCAATTGTCCCACTGCAGCCCCGTGACAAGTTGGCTGTGATGAGTTGGCAGCAGTGACAAGTTGTGTGTAGTGGGGTGCCCCAGGGCTCTGTTCTGGGCCCAGTGCTCTTCAACATCTTCATCAACGATTTGGACGAAAGGATAGATGGGGAATCATCAAATTTGCGGATGACACCAAGCTGGCAGGAATAGCCAACACTCCAGAAGACAGGCTTAGGATACAGGAGGATCTGGACAGACTTGAACACTGGGCGCTATCTAGCAAAATGAAATTCAAGGGTGAAAAAAGCAAGGTTCTACATTTAGGCAAGAAAAACCAAATGCACAAGTACAGCATAGGTGGCACCATGCTCAATAGTAGTAACTGTGAGAGGGACCTCGGAGTCCTAGTAGACAATCACCTAAATATGAGCCAGCAGTGTGCTGCAGCTGCCAAAAAGGCCAACACAGTAATAGTAATAGTAGTAAAATTGGAAGGGACCTTGGAGGTCATCTAGTCCAACCCCCTGCTCGGGCAGGAAACCCTACACCATTTCGGACAAATGGCTGTCCAGTCTCTTCTTAAAAACTTCCAGTGTTGGAGCATTTACTGCTTCTGGAGGCAAGGTTGTTCCACTGATTAATTGTTCTCACTGTCAGGAAGTTTCTCCTTAGTTCTAGGTTGCTTCTCTCCTTGATTAGTTTCCACCCGTTGCTTCTTGTCCTGCCTTCAGGTGCTTTGGAAAATAGCTTGATTCCCTCTTCTTTATGGCAGCCCCTAAGATATTGGAATACTGCTATCATGTCCCCCCTTGTCCTTCTCTTCATTAAACTAGACATACCCAATTCTAGCAACCGTTCCTTATATGTTTTAGCCTCCAGTCCCCTAATCATCTTTGTTGCTCTTCTCTGTACTCTTTCTAGAGTCTCAACATCTTTTTTACATCGTGCTGGGCTGCATTAACAGAGGGATAGAATCAAGATCAGGTGAAGGGTTGATACCACTTTATAAGGCCTTGGTAAGGCCACACTTGGAATACTGCATCCAGTTTTGGTTACCACGATGTCAAAAAGATGTTGAAACTCTAGAAAGAGTACAGAGAAGAGCCACAAAGATGATCAGGGGACTGGAGGCTAACACATATAAGGAACGGCTGCTGGAATTGGGGATGTCTAGTTTAATGAAGAGAAGGACAAGGGGGGATATGATAGCAGTGTTCCAGTATCTCAGGGGCTGCCCCAAAGAAGAGGGAGTCAAGCTATTCTCCAAGGTGCCTGAAGGAAGGACGAGAAGCAACGGATGGAAACTGATCAAGGAGAGAAGCAACCTAAAATATAAGGAGGAATTTCCTGACAGTTAGAACAATTAATCAGTGGAACTCCTTGCCACCAGAAATTGTGGGCACTCCATCACTGGAGGTTTTTAAGAAGAGACTGGACGGCCATTTGTCTGAAATGATGTAGGGTTCCTGCCTGAGCAGGGGGTTGGACTCGATGACCTCCAAGGTCCCTTCCAACTTTTATTATTATTATTATTACTATTATTATTATTATGGATCATCGCACAGTCAGCCAGATGTTCAGACTGGATTTGGCATTTTGTCTACCTATCGAGTCCTTACCCAGGACCTGGGATAGGCAGATGTGGATGTTTGATGGTATTACAGATATCGTCGCAGGATGGAAGCAGTTCCTAGTAAGGCCGCCTTTTGCAATTGACTAATAGCGAATTTGTCAATGCCAATGGTGTTCAAGTGGTGCTCCAGTTGTTTTGGGATTGCACCCAAGGAGCCTATGACTATTGGTACTACCCTTGCTTGCTTTTGCCACAGTCTTTCTATTTCTATTTGTAGGTCTTTGTATTTTGTTATCTTCTCCAGTTCTTTCTCGTCTATTCTGCTGTCTCCAGGCACTGCCACGTCCACTATCCAGACTTTTTTGTCTTTCTTATCGACAATTGTTAAGTCTGGGGTGTTATGTTGCAGGTGCTTGTCTGTTGTTGTTGTTGTTGTTGTTGTTGTTATTATTATTATTATTATTATTATTATTATTATTATTATTATTATTATTATTATTAAATGTGATTGGACACACGAGGAATTTGTCTCCTGTGCAGAAGCTCTCCCTCTACATACAAGCAGCAAAACATGATAGGTCATAAAGCCTAGTTTATAATCATTAATCGTGAGATACAGACAACAAGTGGTAAATCAGAAGATACCAATAGGGGAAGGTAGTAGGAAAGATGAGAAAAGGTGAGAAATGAGAAGATGAATCAGAATCAGAACAGGGACCTTGGAGGTCTTCTAGTCCAACCCCTGGCTGAAGCAGGAGACCCTACACCAGGGCTCTTCAAACTTGGCCACTTTAAGACTTGTGGACTTCAACTCCCAGAATTCCTTGGAAGGCTGCTATCATTTTCCCCCCCAGATTGGCCAAACCCAGATTCTGCAACCATCTGTTTCAGTCTCCAGGCCTTTAATCATCTTAGTTGCTCTTCTTTGCGCTTTTTCCAAAGTGCATTGTGTGATGACTCCCCTCCCCGCCCCGGACATTTCCCCAGATGGCTCTCTAGATGTCAATTTGGAGGAGGATGCTGGGGGGGGGGGAAGGAATGTGCATGAGAGTTTAGCTAGACATAACAACACTGGACCTAGCATGAGTACCAAGGTTATTGAAATAAAGAGATGATAAGAATTGGAGAGCTGGAGAGCTGGAGGGAAAGCCCGCAGTTTGGAGAATGTGATTTATGACTGTTAATTGGAGGAGGGAATTGTGCCCAGGAGAGGGGAATTCAGTTTTTGGCTTCGATTATGCACTGCCGATGTTATGCTACTCAAAATAAAGATTCTTAAAGTAAACAATGCCTCGAAGTTGTTTTGAAGAGTTTCATCTGTCGGAACCAGGACATTATTATGGTGATGCAGAGCTGCCCTGAGGCTTCCAGTGGGGAGAGCACACAGCTGCAGCCGATGAGGAGGAGGAACTGCTTTTTGCACTTGATCTGAGAACAACTGCAGGGCAGAGAAAAGGCAGGAGCAGTGAAGGTCAGCCCAATTGCTCACGAGGAAAAGGCCTCGCCCTTCTTGATTGGCTGCACCAGAAGCTGGCTATTTAGTGCAGCGGACAGATGGAGGCGACGTTGGCAGATCTTGCTCAAAAAATCTGTCTAGTTAGAGCGGAGGTAGGGAAGGACGGCCCTTTTATGACTAGTGGACTTCAACTTCCAGAAGTCCTGAGCCAGCCATGCTCAGAGAGCACCGAGGATCCCACAGTTGTCGCTGTCGTCGTCGTCGTCGTCCTCCTCCTCCTCCTCCTCTCTGCAAGCCCCCCTCCCTTCTAGCACTCCACCCACCCCTGCAGCTTACTTGAAGGTGTCTTCTGTCCTGGTGAGTGTAGGGGCTGGTGGGGCGTTGAGTATCACCTCCCCTTTCAAATCTGAAGCCAAGACTTTGCGCAAGGTGTAGTCGTGCATCTAGGAGAAAGGAGAAGAAAGGACGTCTTGGTAGGAATCCAGATTTTGAAATTAAGGTAGAAGGCCAAAGAAGTTGCGGCTGGCAGGGAAAATGAAGTGAATGGTTGCCGAACTGGCTAAAAAACCCTCTAACATTTTGCTCTTGGTAGAATCTTTACTAAAGACAGAATTGGAAAGAAGGAGGGAGGAAGGAAAGGAGGGAGGGAGGGAGGAAGGGAGGGGAAAACTGAGGGGAAGGGATAGGGACAGGTGGGGAGAGCAGGGGAGGAAGGAAAGAAAGGAAGGAAGGAAGGAAGGAAGGAAGGAAGGAAGGAAGGAAGGAAGGAAGGAAGGAAGGAAGGAAAAGGAAGGAAGGAAACTCATCAAAGAGAGAAGCAACCTGGAAGTAAAGAGGAAGGAAGGAAGGAAGGAAGAAGGGAAGGAGGGAAGGAAGGAAGGAAGGAAGGAAGGAAGGAAGGAAGGAAGGAAGACCAATGGATGGAAACTCATCAAAGAGAGAAACAACCTGGAAGTAAAGAGGAAGGAAGGAAGGAAGGAAGGGAGGGAGGGAGGAAGGGAGGGAGGGAGGGAGGGAGGGAAAGGAGGGAAAGGAGAGAAAGAAGGAAGGAGGGAGGGAAGAAAGGAAGGAAAGGGAGGAAGGAGGGAAGGAAGGGAAGGAAGAAGAGAGGGAGGGAGAAGAAGCAGTAGAAAGGAGTTGAGTCCTTCCCAAACTTGGGATAGGTAGATGTGGATGTTTGATGGGGTTAATAATACTGTTTCAGGATGTAAACTTATTTTGAATAAAGCCACCTGTTGCAATTGACTGATTGGGATTTTGTCAATGCCAAAGGTGTTCAAGTGGTGCTCCAGATGTTTAGAGATTGTACGTAAGGCGCCTATTTATATCTTGCCCATCTCATTGACCCTGGGCAGCTTATAGCATCATAAAAGTACAATAGAATAGAATAGAATAGAATAGAATAGAATAGAATGGAAAATAGGGAGTAGAAAATAGAATAGAATAGAAAATAGAATATAGAATAGAATAGAATATCTCATTCCATATTTTCTATTCTATTCTATTCTATTTTCTACTCTGTTCTGTTCTGTTCTGTTCTGTTCTGTTGAGTCTGTATTCCATAGAGTTTCAATTCTCCTCTCCTCCAGGGCCACGAGGGCGTTTTCAACAGAGCATAAACTCCACCTGCTGGCAATGCTCAGCAAATTAGCTCCATCCATCGGTCCCTTTGAACACAGGTGGTCCTCAACTTACCACTTTCCGCAAACACACCGACGATTCGGTTTCTGTGCGGGAGACTCGCTCTACAAAGAGAACAAACTTACGACAGGTTGTAAGAGAATTACCCGGCTCTCTCCAGGCTCCATGAAGTAGGCGGTGATGCTTTGCAGGCCCGGCGCCCGGCCGCAGAGCCACTCCACCCCGGTGAGGATAATCTGCAGCAGACTTTGCTGGGTGCGGATGTGATGGTAGGCTGTGCTGAAGGAGTGTGCGATGCCCTGAGGAACAACAAGCTTGTTTATGGTGGATGTCTGCCCACCAGAAAACAGGCTGGATGGGGGATTCTGGGAGTGGAAGCCCACCCCTCTTAAAGCAGGCTGGATGGGGGATTCTGGGAGTGGATGTCCACCCATGTTAAAGCAGGCTGGATGGGGGATTCTGGGAGTGGAAGTCCACCCCTCTTAAAGCAGGCTGGATGGGGGATTCTGGGAGTGGAAGCCCACCCATGTTAAAGCAGGCTGGATGGGGGATTCTGGGAGTGGATGTCCACCCATGTTAAAGCAGGCTGGATGGGGGATTCTGGGAGTGGAAGCCCCCCATGTTAAAGCAGGCTGGATGGGGGATTCTGGGAGTGGATGTCCACCCATGTTAAAGCAGGCTGGATGGGGGATTCTGGGAGTGGAAGCCCACCCATGTTAAAGCAGGCTGGATGGGGGATTCTGGGAGTGGAAGCCCCCCATGTTAAAGCAGGCTGGATGGGGGATTCTGGGAGTGGAAGCCCCCCATGTTAAAGCAGGCTGGATGGGGGATTCTGGGAGTGGAAGCCCCCCATGTTAAAGCAGGCTGGATGGGGGATTCTGGGAGTGGAAGCCCACCCATGTTAAAGCAGGCTGGATGGGGGATTCTGGGAGTGGAAGTCCACCCCTCTTAAAACATTCTGGATGGGGAATTCTGGGAGTGGAAGTCCACCCCTCTTAAAACATTCTGGATGGGGAATTCTGGGAGTGGAAGTCCACCCCTCTTAAAGCAGGCTGGCTGGGGGATTCTGGGAGTGGAAGTCCACCCCTCTTAAAGCATGGGTGGCACATTGTAGGAGTAGAAGTCCATCCATCTTAAAGTATTTTGCCTGGGGAATTCTGGGAATCCAAGTCCTCCCCTCTCCAAGCCCATAAGGTTGAAGAACACTACCTTGGATTCTTCTAAACGCCCCCAGAAGTGTAGCTAAGGAAGCCTTGATCCCAAAATCAAGACCAGCCACATCGCCGCCCCCCCCCCCGATCCTGGCTTGAATTCCCACCTGGTAGTAACGGATCTCATGGGGGACGAAGATGGTTTTTTCATTCTTGTCCCGGAGGGTGTCCAGTCCGAGGACCCCAAAGACCCTTCTCCGGACATCTTCCAGGGGCAGCACCAAGAAGGATCCCCTTTGCTTGCTTCGGGGGCAATCGGAGTTCCAGAAGTGGATATTTCCGTGCAAGTGAACTCGGGGGACGTGGATGGGCTTGTCATCCAAGGCGGCTGCGAAGCTGTGGGGTGGGGTGGGGGGTGCGAGAGGGAAGAAAAGCTTTGGGGGGGGTAGAAGCAGCTAAGCAGCAGCAGAAGAGGAGGGGGGCTGCCCCATAATTTGCAGCACGGGCGAGTGCAAAATAGCCTACGTTCCACCATGAATGGATCGGATGATTAGATGGATTAATGGGTGGGTGGATGGATGGATGAATGGATGGTTGAGATGGATCAATGCATTGAAAGATTGATGGAATGATGAGTGAATGGATGGAAGGGTAGGTAGATGGCGGGAATGGGTAGATGGATCAAAAAATTGATGAATGGATGGATCGATGGATCGAAAGATTGATGATGAGTGGATGGATGGATGGATGAATAGATGGAAGGATAAGATGGATGGATGGATGGATGGATGGATGGAAGGAAGGATAATATTGATGGATCTATGTTTGGGATGGATAGATGGATTGAAAGATTGATGGATTGAGTGGATGGATGGATGGATGGATGAATAGATGGAAGGATAAGATGGATGGATGGATGGATGGGTGGAAGGAAGGAAGGAAGGATAATATTGATGGATCTATGTTTGGGATGGATAGATGGATTGAAAGATGGATGGATGGATGGATGAATAGATGGAAGGATAAGATGGATGGATGGATGGATGGATGGATGGAAGGAAAGAAGGAAGGATAATATTGATGGATCGATGTTTGGGATGGATAGATGGATTGAAAGATTGATGGATTGAGTGGATGGATGGATGAATAGATGGAAGGATAAGATGGATGGATGAGATGGATGGGTGGATGGTTGGGATGGATAGATGGATTGAAAGATTGATGGATTGAGTGGATGGATGGATGAATAGATGGAAGGATAAGATGGATGGGTGGATGGTTGGGATGGATAGATGGATTGAAAGATTGATGGATCAATGAGTGGATGGATGGATGGATGGATGGATGAGATTAATAGATGGATGTGACGGATGCATGGAAGGATGCATGCATGTATGCATGGATGGGTGGCTGGCTGGCTGGATGATTGGGATGGATAGATGGATCAAAAGTGATGGATTGATGAGTGGAAGGGTGGATGGATGGATGAATAGATGGAAGGATAAGATGGATGGATGAGATGGATGGATGGATGGATGGTTGGATGGATGGATGGATGGATGGATAAGATTAACAGATGAATGCGATGTATGCATGGAAGGATGCATGCATGTATGCATGGATGGATGGATGGATGAATGGACGCTGAATGAGCGTTCCTTACCTGACTCCCGGCATATCCATGAAAAGGATCTGGTTGAGGACATAAGGGGCATCGTCTTCTGTGGAGGCCACATAGCGCAGCAGAATGTCTCCCCGTTCAGGGGCTATGACGTTGTATTCCAGAAGGGCGATGTAGGCGCTGACCTTCTTCTTGTCTCCGTGAGCATCAGTGTCCTGCAAGAGAGAGAGAGAGTCAACTCATCACCATGAATTATGGGGCAGCTTAATCCTAACCCCAATCCTAGCCTAGAATCTTAGACTTGGGCAGGGCCTTACAGTCCCTTGGACTTTAGACGTCCAACACAGGGGCACTGTTTCTCAACCTCGGCAACTGAAGATGTGTGGACTTCAACTCCCAGAATTCCCCAGCCAGCACTCAGAAGAGACTTGGCCCAGAATGCAGTTTTTCTCAGCTTTCCGATAGGTGGATTCTAAATCCCCAGAATTGCCCAGACAGAAAGCAAAAGAACCTTGCCCCATAAGGCAGGATTTCTCAACCTCGGAAGCCCGAAGACGCCTGGACTTCATTTCCCAGAATTCCCCATCCATCTCCATGCTCTGGTGTCTCTAATGAGACGAACCAGTGAGAACTGGCAAACTGACCCATCCATTCACCTGTTCTCCTAAGACAGTGGTTCTCCACCTGTGGGTCGGGACCCCATTTGGGGTCGAACGACCATTTCACGGGGGTCGCCAAACAACGCAGTCCGCCATTTTTTTCCCCTTTTCCTTAGCTGTGCTGCTCCCTTTTATTCTATTGGCTTTTGAAAGCCAATAGAATAGACTCTCTTGAATAGAGTCTCTAATTCTATTGGCTTTCAAAAGCCAATAGGAATTGTCCAGGCTGTCTCTGCCCTGCTGAGCCCGCCAAAAGTCCCAGTCTGCAAATGGTGCTGCACCAGTTGAGTAGTCCTCGACTTACGACCGGTTAAGTAGTCCTTGACTTACGACCGGTTGGGGGTCGCGGCATTAAAAAGGTTGAGAACCACTGTCATAAGAGCTTATTCGCAGGTAGTCCCTGACTTAAAACTGGAATTGGAATGTTGACTTATTAGAGGGGATTTCATATTGTTAATTAGAGCTTTAAAGGGAGACGTTGGGATAAGGGGAATTCTGGTCATTAGATTTAAAATCCTCGGAAATTAGTTGAAAACAAGGACTTTGTCAGTTTAATATTGACAAATTAGACCTATAAGGCAAAAGAAAATTAATTATGATGAATATGTTTATTGATTAACCCAGGTAATATATATAATGGTTTTGATTTATTAAAGGGGATATTGTATTATTAAGTAGATGATTTAATATGGTGGGAAATAGACAACTCTTAGGAAACAGAACATGATTACATTCAAATAGATAAAATGTGTATTTAGTAATAATAATAATAATAATAATAATAATAATAATAATACAAATAGAAATAGAAAGACTGTGGCAAAAGCAAGTAAGGGTAGTAGCAATAGTCACAGACGCCTTGGGTGCAATCCCAAAACAACTGGAGCACCACTTGAACACCATCATTGGCATTGACAAATTCGCTATTAGTCAATTGCAAAAGGCGGCCTTGCTAGGAACCGCTTCCATCCTGCGACGATATCTGTAATACCATCAGATATCCACATCTGCCTATCCCAGGTCCTGGCTAAGGACTCAATAGGTAGACAAAATGCCAAATTCAGTCTGAACATCTGGCTGACTGTGCGATGATCCAAAATAATAAAGTTGGAAGGGACCTTGGAGGTTATCAAGTCCAACCCCCTGCTCAGGCGGGTAACCCTATACCATTTCGGACAAACTAAAAACCGGGTACAAATTAATAACAGGATATGGATTGTTTATGAAGATTGAATGTAATTAAGATACGTCTAAGTCAATGGTTCTCAACCTGTGGGTCGGGACCCCATTTGGGGTCAAACGACCATTTCACGGGGGTCGCCAAACAAGGCTGTCCGCCATTTTTTCCCCTTTTCTTTGGCCACGCCCCTGGCACCCAGTGATGTATAAGTGGTTGGGGGTCACCACAACATGAGGAACTGTATTATGGGGTCGCGGCATTAGAAAGGTTGAGAACCACTGGTCTAAGTGAAAAGTTTATTGATAAATGTAATAAGGATGCTCCGTGACGAGTCTTGCTGACGGATCTACTCACCCTGAAGAGAGCCTTGAAGACCGCTTGGTAGACGGGCTCCATGCATCCGCCGCTGGTCACAGCCGCGTGTTCGATCCGGAGCAGCCATTTGCGCCGGGCGTTCCCACGCAACCGTTCCAGGTGGGGGCGCCCCACGGCCATCATCAGGAACTCCACAAGGTTGTCCAGCGTCTCCTGTTCGGATCCGGTGAGCTCGGACATCACCAGCTCGATGTAGGTTTGGAAGTCCTTCTGCATTAGCTTGACCATCCCGCTGGGGTGCCAGGTGGGAAAGGGAAGCTGCAGCTTAGCTATGGGGGGGGGGGGAGAAAGGGAAAGGGTCAGCCCAGGACACGGGCTTCTCAGCTGGGGACCCAGGAAGTTGAACCTTGTGGTCTCCACTCCCGATTCCTTTCAGAGGGTGCAATTAAAGACGTGCCGTTTTCTTCCACAGCCACGGGGAAAAAAACAGGATCGGACATCGGAAGGGGCACCTTCACCAGCAGAAGCATCAACAACAGGACGACAGAGCTGGAAGGGACCTCGGAGGTCATCTAGTCCAACCCCCAGCTCAAGCAGGAGAGCCTATGCCATTCCAGAATGACAGAGTAATAGAGTTGGAAGGGACCTTGGAGGTCATCTAGTCCAACCCCCCAGCTCAAGCAGGAGACCCTATGCCATTCCAGAATGACAGAGTAATAGAGTTGGAAGGGACCCTGCAGGTCATCTAGTCCAACCCCGCAGCTCAAGCAGGAGACCCGATGCCATTTCAGAGAAGTGGCTGTCCAATCTCTTCTTAAAAGCCTCCAGGGCTGGAGTAACAGGATGTCCTCAACTTACGACAGTTCATTTAGCGACCATTTGAAATCGCAGTTAAAAAAAAAAGGGGACGGATGACCGTTTTTCACACTTTACGACCGTTGCAGCATCCCCAGTGGCCAAATGAAGATGCTTGGGAATTGACTCCACACTTATGACAGTCGAAGTGTCCCGGGGTCATGTGTGATCCCCTTTTGTGACTTTCTGACAATCAAAGTCAACAGGGGAAGCCAGATTCATTAACAACCATGTCATTAACGTAACAGCTGTGGTGATTAACTTAAATAGAATAGAATAGAAGCTGGAAGGGACCATGGAGGTCTTCTAGTCCAGCCCAAGCAGGAGAACCTACACCATTCCAGACAGGTGAATGTCTAGTCTCTTCTTGAAAATCTCCAGTGATGAAGCGCCCACAATTTCTGGTGGCAAGCTGTTCCACTGGTTAATTGTCCTCACTATCAGGAAGTTTCTCCTTAATTCTAGGTTGCTTCTCTCTTTGATGAATAAAATAGGATAATATTAGAATAGAATAGAATAGAATAGAATAGAATAGAATAGAATAGAATAGAATAGAATAGAATAGAATTATGGGTTGTAATTAGAATAGAATAGAATAGAATAGAACAGAATAGAATTAAAATAAGAATAGAATAGAATAGAATATGGAATGGAAAGGAAAGGAATGGAATAGAATAGAATAGAATAGAATAGAGTAGAATAAAATTAAAATAAGAATAAAATAGAATAGAATATCGAATGGAATAGAATGGAATAGAATAGAATAGAATAGAATTAAAATTAGAATAGAATACAATAGAATAGAATATATAAAATTAGAACAGAATAGAACATAGAATAAAGAATAGAAAAGAAAATAGAATAGAAAATAGAATAGAATAGAAAATAGAATAGAATAGAAAATAGAATAGAATAGAATTAAAATATGAATAGAATATGGAATAGAATAGAATAGAATAGAATTGGAAGGGACCTTGGAGGTCTTCTAGTCCAGCCCCCTGCTCAAGCAGGAAAACCTATGCCATCTCAGACAAGTAATTGACTAGCCTTTTCTTGAAAATCTCCAGTGATGGAGTTTTCTTAACAACTGTGTCAAGAAGGGTTGTGAAATGGGGCAAACCTCACTCAAAAAATGTCTCGCTTAGCAACATCAATTTTGGACTCAGTTCTGGTTCTAAGTTGAGGACTTCCTGTATATGTGGCTCTGCCATCCACAGACACATAGAGAGGAATCCTATTTACACACCATTCGAAAGAGACAACAAAAAAGTGAAGAGGGAAACAAAAAGAGCAGAACTCATCCTCCTCAGCAGCCAAGACACAGATAAGCAGGGATTAACACCAGACAAATAATCAGACAGAAAACAATATCCCAAATCAAGACAGTTCCAGGGAGAAAACCAGACTGCCACCAACACTGACAGGACAAATTATTATATAGAAACAGGAAGCAAACCCCACACTCACCAGCGCTGATGACGTTACCTAGTTCAGTCATGAAACGTCTGCAAGAACACAACCAAGCTCAGACAGCATTAAGGACCCCACAGTTGTCCTCCTCCCTCTCCTCCTCCTCCTCCCCCTCCTCCTGCTCCTCTCCACAAACCCTCCTCCCTTCTAACACTGATGATATTACCTAGCTGGGTCATGAGATGTCTGCAAGAAAACAACCAAGCAGAGAGCACCCAGTACCCCACAGTCCTCCTCCTCCTCCTCCTCCCCCTCCTCCTCCTCCTCCTCCTCCTCCTCCTCCTCCTTTCCACAAACCCTCCTCCCTTCTAGCACTGATGATGTTACCTACTTGGGTCATGAAACCTCTGCAAGGAAACAAGTTCAGAGAGCATCACGGGCAGCATTATCCTTCTTCTCCTCCACCCAACTCAGAGAGCACCAAGGACCCCACAGTGCTCCTCCTCCTTCCTCTCCTCTTTCTCTTCTTCCTCCTCTTCCTCTTCTTCCTACTCCTACTCCTACTACTTTTGGCAAACCTCCACCCCCTTCTAGCACTGATGATGTTACCTAGTTGGGTCATGAAACGTCTGCAAAAAAATAATCAAGCTCAGAGAGCACCAAGGAGCATGCTGTCCTCCTCTTCCTCCTCCTCCTCCTCCTCCTCCTCCTCCTCCTCCTCGCAAACCCCCCTTCCTTCTAGCATTGATGATGTTCCCTAGTTGGGTAATGAAATGTCTGCAAGGAAACCACCAGGCTCAGAGGGCACCAGGGTCCCCACAGTAGCCTTCCTCCTCCTCGTCTCCTCCTCCTCCTCCTCTTCCTCCCCCTCCCCCTCCTCCTCCTCCTCCTCCTCCAGGACCACCTGTCTCCCAGCAGTTGTTAAAAATGTGGTGATGCCTACAAAGGGATGCCTGGACTCACCAATTTTGGGCTCAACTGCGGTCTGTAGATAATAAGAGGGACCCTGGAGGCCATCTAGTCCAGAGGTTCCCCAACCTTTTGGGCACCATGGACCGGTTCCATGGAGAGAGGGTTTTCCCACAGACTGGAGGGGGTATAGTTTTGTGTGCTGCCTGCATCTCATGAATGGGGCTTTGCTTGTTTGTGCGGACTGGTTGCTGGCATGCCGCGGCTCTGTACTGGTCCACGGCCCGGGAGTTGGGGACCCCTGTCATAGATGATAGATTGAGATAGATAGATGATAGAAAGATAAATAAAGGACAAAGGATAGAAAGATGACAGACTGAAAAATGATAGATAGATAAATAGATATGGATAGATGAATAAGTAGTAGATGGAGAGATAGAAAGAAAGAGAGGGTAGTCCAAGAACCGTGGCTCTTTGATGACTCGTGGACTTCAACTCCCAGAATTCCTGAGCTAGCCAGTTTTGCTCCATTTTACAGACTTTATTGCTTGAAATCCAGAACTTTGAATAGAATAGAATATGGAAAGAATAGAATAGAATAGAATAGAATAGAGAGTAGAGTAGAATAGAGTAGAGTAGAATAGGAATATAGAATATAGAATAGAATAGAATAAGAATAGAATAGAATAGAATAGAATATAGAAAGAATAGAATAGAATAGAGTAGAATAGGAATATAGAATATAGAAAGAATATAATAGAATATAGAAAGAATAGAATAGAATAGTAGAATAGAATAGAATAGAATAGAATAGAATAGAATAGAATAGAATAGAATAGAGAGTAGAGTAGAGTAGAGTAGAGTAGAGTAGGAATATAGAATATAGAAAATAGAATAGAATAGAATATAGAAAGAATAGAATAGAATACAGAAAGAATAGAATAGAATACAGTAGAGTAGAGTAGGAATATAGAATATAGAAAGAATAGAATAGAATATAGAAAGAATAGAGTAGAATATCGAAAGAATAGAATAGAATATAGAAAGAATAGAATAGAATAGAATAGGAATATAGAATATAGAAAGAATAGAATAGGATGTAGAAAGAATAGAATAGAATAAAATAGAATAGGAATATAGAATATAGAAAAAATAGAATAGAATATCGAAAGAATAGAATAAAATGGAATGGAATGGAATGGAGTAGAGTGGAGTGGAGTGGAGTGGAATGGAATGGACTGGAATGGAATGGAATAGAATGGAATAGAATGGAATAGAATAGAATAGAACAAAGCTGGAAAGGACCTTGGAGGTCATCTAGTCCAACCCCCTGCTCAGGCAGGAGACCCTATACCAGGGGTGGGCAACCTTGGCTCTTTTATGACTGGTGGACTTCAACTCCCAGAATTCCTGAGCCATCCATGGCTCAGCTTGGAAACCTCTCCCTTTCCCCTCAGCGTGCCTGGCTCAGGAATTCTGGGAGCTGAAGTCCACCAGTCATCCAAGAGCCACGGTGGCCTCTCCCTGGGGTAGTCCAACCCCAGCTGAAGCAGAAGCTGCTTTTGGGGAAAGGGTCCTTGCGCTCCTCTTACCCCTGGTCAAGGCTTGTTCTTCCATGCCTTCCTTGAAGGTGCTGAGGACCGAGTCCACCTCCTTCATCTCCAAGAACCCCGAACACTCGTTGTCCCACTTCTCGAAAAGGGCCGTGACGAGAAGCTGCTGCCGGAGCAACAGGGACGTCTGATGCACCTGTGGGGGTGGGGGGGGAGGGCAACATTAGAAGGTCCCTCCTGTACAGGTAGTCCTGGGGCCACCGTGACAATTCTGTTGCTAAGCGAGACGGTTGTTAAGTGAGTTTATCCCGGTTTTATCCCCTTTTCAATCTCTGCGCTCGTTTAGTTTGTAGCAATCGCAACAGCGCTGAGACTTATATAGCGCTTCACGGTGCTTTTATAGACCTCCCTGAGCGGTTTACAGAGTCAGCCTATTTGCCCCCAACAATCTGGGTCCTCATTTTACCCACCTCGGAAGGACGGAAAGCTGAGTCAAGCTCAAGCCAGTCAGGATCGAACTGCTGGCAGTGGGCAGTCAGCCTGCAATACTGTGTTCTAATCATTACGCCATCATGAGAAGGAAGGACGGAAGGAAGGAAGGATGGAAGCAAGAAAGGAAGGAAGGAGAAAAAGGAAAGGAAGGAAGGAAGGAAGGAAGGAAGGAAGGAAGGAAGGAAGGAAGGAAGGAAGGAAGGGCAACAGCAGTTAGACTTATATACCGCTTCACAATGCTTTACAGCCCTCTCTAAGAGGTTTACAAAATCAGCATTTTGCCCCCCAACAATCTGGGTCCTCCTTTTACCCACCTCGAAGGACGGAAGGCTGAGTCAACCTGGAGCCGGTCAGGATCGAACTTCCTGGCTGTGGCAGAGTCAGCCTGCAATGCTGGATTCTAACCACTGTGCCACCAGGGCTTGCTTCCTTCTTGTTTCCCTTCCTTCTCATCTTCCTTCCTTCCTTCCTTCCTTCCTTCCTTCCTTCCTTCCTTCCTTCCTTCCTTCCTTCCTTCCTTCCTTCCTTCCCAAGCAGTAGCACTTAGATTTATCTACTGCTTCACGGTGCTTTACAGCAGTTTACAGAGTCGCCTATTTGCCCCCAACAATCTGGGTCCTCATGTTACTGACCTCGGAAGGACGGAAGGCTGAGTCAACTGAGCTGCTCAGGATCAAACTTCCTGGCTGTGGGCAGAGTCACCCTGGAATGCTGGGTTCTAACCACTGTGCCACCATGGCTTGCTTCCTTCTTGTTTCCCTTCCTTCTTGTCTTCCCTCCTTCCTTCCTCCCTTGTCGTCTTCCTTCCTTCCTTCCTTCCTTCCTTCCTTCCTTCCTTCCTTCTTTCCTTCCTTCCTTCTCTTCTTCCTTCCTTCCTTCCCAAGCAATACCACTTCACAGTGCTTTACAGCAGTTTACAGTGTCAGCCTACAATCTGGGTCCTCATTTTATCGACTTCGCCTTCCTTCCTTCCTTCCTTCCTTCCTTCCTTCCTTCCTTCCTTCCTTCCTTCCTTCCTTCCTTCCTTCCTTCTCCTTGTTTCCCTTCTTTTGCTTCTATGATGATGATCAGCAGCCGCATATAAATTTTAATTAATAAAGAAACAAACAGAGACATGATAGCAGTGTTCCAGTGTTTAAGGGGCTGGTTTGGACAAAATTCAGCAGCACTTTTTCGTGCGGCTGCTGATAAAAACAGGATCGCCAACATGATCGCCAACATCCGATAATGCAGTGGTTCTCCACCTGTGGGTCGGGACCCCATTTGGGGTTGAACGACCATTTCACGGGGGTTGCCAAACAAGGCTGTCCACCATTTTCCCCCCTTTTCTTTGGCCACGCCCCTGGCACCCGGTGATGTATAAGTGGTTGGGGGTCACCACAACATGGGGAACTGTATTATGGGGTCGCGGCATTAGAAAGGTTGAGAACCACTGCGATAATGGATATGGCAGAGGAAGAAGAAGGAGAAGGAGAAGGAGTGTTTAAGGGGCTGCCACAAGGAAGAGGGGGTCATATTGTTCTCCAAAGCGCCAGAGGGCAGGACAAGAAACAACGGATAGAAACTGATCAAAGAGAGAAGCAACCTGGAACTAAGGAGAAATTTTCTAACAATGAGGACAATTAACCAGTGGAACAGCTTGCACCTGGACAGTCACTTATTTGAAATGCTACAGGTTCTCCTGCTTGAGCAGGGGGTCTGGACTAAGGTCCCTTTCAGCTTCTATTCCATTCCATTCCATTCCATTCCATTCTATTCTATTCTTTCATAATTCTATTCTATTCTATTCCATTCCATTCCATTCCATTCCATTCTATTCTATTCTATTCTATTCTATTCTATTCTATTCTATTCTATTCTATTCTATTTTTATTTTGTTTCTATTCTATTCTATTCTATACTTTCTATAATATATGTACTCTATTCTTATTTTAATTCTATTCATTTTCTATTCTCTTCTTCTCTATTCTCTTCTCTCTTCTCTTATTTTTTCTCTTCTCTTCTCTTCTCTTCTCTTCTATTGTATTCTCTTCTATTCTATGGAACACCCAGATACCCACGCCGAATTTTGATTACGTGACCGTCGGGATGCTGCAATGGTTGTGTGAAAGCAGTCACAAGTTGCTTTTTTCGATGCTGTCGTAACTTGAAACAGCCACTAAAGGAATGGTTGTCAGTCCAGGACCACCTGTAAATGAGGAATGATTTGGCGGGGGGAGGGGGGTACAGGGGGCTGTGTGGCATTTACCTTCTCCAGCTGAGTGAACTTCTCAGTGTCGGTCTGCAGGTAGCCCTTCTTCAGGAACTCGACCGCCTTCTTCAGCCTCGGCAGGGACGTCCCTTCGCCCACGAAGGTCTCCATCAGCTGCACGAACTGGGGCAGGTTGAGGGAGCTCTTCTCAAAGGGGCTAAGGGAGGCCGGGGGGCCCCGACCCTGGATTTCGATCATCCCCAGGCGGAGAGCTGGAAAGAGAAACCCGTCCTGCAGCTCCGTTGACCGACAGCCGGCAGGGCCCAGGCCGGAGCAAGAGAGGAGGAGAAGCAGGGCTGGGACACGGGTGGCTCATGGGATTCGGGGGACTGAGAGGGACCGTGGAGGTCTTCTAGTCCACCCCGCTGCCCAAGGCTGTAGACCTTATAGCAGGGGTCCCCAAGCCCTGTGCCTCAGCCCACTACCGGGTCATTAGCTTTCAGAACAGGGGCGCCAAAAGAAAGAAATAACAAAAGAAAGAAAGAAAGAAAGAAAGAAAGAAAGAAAGAAAGAAAGAAAGAAAGAAAGAAAGAAAGGAAGGAAGGAGAGGGGGAGGGAGGAGAAAAGGATAGAAAGAAAGTAGGAAGGAAAGAAGGTAAGAAGAAAGAAAGAAAGAAAGAAAGAAAGAAAGAAAGAAAGAAAGAAAGAAAGAAAGAAAGAGGTGGAGAAATGAAGGAAGGAAGGACGGAAGGACGGATGGAGAGGGGGAGGGAGGGAGGAAGGAAGGAGACAAGGAAAGGAAAAAATTGATGGAAGAAAGGAAGGAATGGGAAAAAGATGGGAAGGAAGGAAGGAAAGAGGGGGAGGGAGGGAGGAAGGAAAGGAAAATGTTGGGATGGATGGAAGAAAGGAAGGAATGGGAAAAAGATGGGAAGGAAGGAAGGAAAGAGGGGGAGGGAGGGAGGAAGGAAAGGAAAATGTTGGGATGGATGGAAGAAAGGAAGGAATGGGAAAAAGATGGGAAGGAAGGAAGGAAGGAAGAGAAGGGGATCGGAGGAAGGAAAGAGGACAAAAGGAAAAAGATGGGATGGATGGATGGAAGAAAAGAAGGAAGGAAGGAAGGAAGGAAGGAAGGAAGAAGGAAGGAAGGAAGCAAGCAAGCAAGTGGAGGGAGGGGAGAGAGGGAGGGAGGGAAAGGGGAAAAGATGGGAAGGAAGGAAGGAAGGAAGGAAGGGAAAACGTGGGAAGTGAGAGAGGGAGGGAGGGTTAGGGCGGACTACCTGTAATGAGTAAACAATAATAAAACAATTAAAAATAAACCTGAAAACCTGGAGTCCTCTTTGTTCCAATCCTCCCGGACCTCCTTGCCGTAATCCGCGTACTTGAAGGTCAGATCTGCCATCTCAAAAGTGCCTGGGGGACCACAAGGCAGTCATCACACCACAAACAACTCCGGAAGGTACAGTTAATACTCCCCCCCCCCTGCTGCTTTTTCCCAAAAATGTGGTTTTATCAGCCATCCTGGGCACCCCACATGGCGATGGCGCCCATCAAGGGGCTGATTTGATAGGGCTGTTGCTGTCGGCGAGGGGGGGGGTGTTCATGAGCTTTTAGTATACAGGTAATCCTCAACTTACAACATTTAGTGCAGGGGTCTTGCAACTTAGCCCTTTTAGGACTTGTGGACTTCAACTCCCAGAATTCCTCAGACAGGCACGCTGGCTGAGGAATTCTGGGAGTTGAAGTCCACAAGCAGGGGTCTTCAAACGTGGCCTTTTTAGGACTTGTGGACTTCAACTCCCAGAATTCCTCAGACAGGCATGCTGGCTGAGGAATTCTGGGAGTTGAAGTCCACAAGCAGGGGTCTTCCAACTTGGTCCTTTTTAGGACTTGTGGACTTCAACTCCCAGAATTCCTCAGACAGGCACGCTGGCTGAGGAATTCTGGGAGTTGAAGTCCGCAAGCAGGGGTCTTCCAACTTGGTCCTTTGATGACTTGTGGACTTCAACTCCCAGAATTCCTCAGACAGGCATGTTGGCTGAGGAATTCTGGGAGTTGAAGTCCCGCAAGCAGGGGTCTTCCAACTTGGTCCTTTGATGACTTGTGGACTTCAACTCCCAGAATTCCTCAGACAGGCATGTTGGCTGAGGAATTCTGGGAGTTGACGTCCACAAGCAGGGGTCTTCCAACTTGATCCTTTTTAGGACTTGTGGACTTCAACTCCCAGAATTCCTCAGACAGGCACGCTGGCTGAGGAATTCTGGGAGTTGACGTCCACAAGCAGGGGTCTTCAAACGTGGCCTTTTTAGGACTTGTGGACTTCAACTCCCAGAATTCCTCAGACAGGCACGCTGGCTGAGGAATTCTGGGAGTTGAAGTCCGCAAGCAGGGGTCTTCCAACTTGGTCCTTTGATGACTTGTGGATTTCAACTCCCAGAATTCCTCAGCTGGGCACTTGCCTGGCTGAGGAATTCTGGGACTTGAAGTCCACAAGTCCTAAAAGGGCCAAGTTGGAAGATCCCTGATTTAGTGACTATTCGAGGTTACAGCGGCATTGACCTACGACCGTTTTCCCCACTTACGACAAATTGCAGCATTCGCCGGATCAAAATTCAGACACTTGGCAATTGACTCATAGTTACGACAGTCGCAGTGTCCCCCGGGGGTCTCACGGGGTCTCCTTTTGCGACCTTTGGACAAGCCAAGTCAATGGGGGAAAGCAACTTGGGTGGGAAGATGATTGAGGGCTGCAAGTACCTGACCAGACTTCCCCGTAGATCCGTTGAGGTCCTTGGGTCCTCTCCAAGCTGGCTTGGCCGGGAGGCCAATGAAGGCTGGCTTGGCTGGGGGGCACCGAGGGCCCTTCTGAAAAAGAAAAATTCAGGGAAGGGTAGAGGCTGGAGATTCACAGCCTTTGATTAGAATTCCCTGCGGTTTCAAATTTGTTTGTACTCCTCCGTCCACTCCCAGAATTCCCCATCCAGCCTGCTTTAAGGGGGGGGGATTTCCACTCCCAGAATTCCCCAGCTGGCATGCTTTAAGAGGAGTGGATTTCATCTCCCAGAATTCCCCAGCCAGCATGTTTTAAGATTGGGGTGGACTTCCACTCCCAGAATTCCTCAGCCGGCCTGCTTTAATATAAATGGACTTCCACTCCCAGAATCCCCCAGCCAGCATGCTTTAAGAGGGAGGACTTCCACTCCCAGAATTCCCCAGCCAGCATGTTTTAAGATTGGGGTGGACTTTCACTCCCAGAATTCCTCAGCCGGCCTGCTTTAATATAAATGGACTTTCACTCCCAGAATTCCCCCAGCCAGCCTGCTTTAAGAGGGGTGGATTTCCACTCCCAGAATCCCCCAACCAGCTGCTTTAAGAGGGGTGGACTTCCACTCCCAGAATTCCTCAGCCAGCCTGCTTTAAGAGGGGACGACTTCCACTCCCAGAATCCCCCAGCCGGCATGCTTTAAGAGGGGACGACTTCCACTCCCAGAATCCCCCAGCCGGCATGCTTTAAGAGGGGAGGACTTCCACTCCCAGAATTCCCCAGCCAGCATGCTTTAACAGGGATGGACTTCCACTCCCAGAATTCCCCCAGCCAGCCTGCTTTAAGAGGGATGGACTTCCACTCCTAGAATTCTCATCAATGATCTTGCTTGCTATGGAATTCTGGGAGTTGAAGTCCACACTCCTGTAAATTGGCAAATACTGTTTTTACTGCCCCCAAATCTAAGTTTTTAAAGCTGGAAACCAACTCTATTAATCTTAGTAAGTTGCAATTATGGATGACCAGTAGAGGGAGCAATAGAACGCATTTGAGCATAACTCTCTGAGCATTTTTATATATTCAATATTCTGCATCATAAAATTTTTCCTTGACAAAATAGTGGCTGTTTAAGGTCTCCATTATTAAAGCTTTTATTTGTCTGCCGCCCGGTCTAGCTAAACGTTCTGGTCCGAATTTAATCCAGGAAAGGTTTTCTTGAAAAACTAAGCAGTGCGGACACCCCTGGGCTAACTTTTTCGTCTGGATTTCAAAAGCCATCATTCCTGGCTGAAGAGGGTTAAGAATTAGAATTAGAATTAAGTGTTGCCATAATGCATGAAAAGTCTGTTTCAGGAAAAGAAGACCTTCAGAAGAATCAGGTCCTTGCTAAGAATATTCTAAAACCATTCTCTAAAAATGAACTTTGATGGGAGAGAGTCTACAACAGTGTTACTCAACCTTAAGATGAGTGGACTTCAATTCCCAGAATACCCCAGCCAGCATGCTTTAAGAGCGATAGTCTTTAATTCCCCAAAGTCCCAAAGATGCTTTTTTCAGGAGGCAACTGGCTTTTCTTGAAGACCTCAAGTGACGAAGCAGCCACGATTCCGGGAAGCAAGCTGTTCCATGGATTAATAGTTCTCTATTAATCCTATTCTCTAAAACAGACCATCATTGTTGCGTCCAGGTAAGGAGAGATCCCTGCCGTTAACTATCAAGGGTGAAGTGTCTAAAGCACCAGAAGGCAGGACAGGAAGCAATGGAAGGTAGCTAACCAAGGAGAGAAGCAACCTAGAATTAAGAAGAAATGTCCTAACAGTGAGAACAATTCCTAACCAGTGGAACAACCTGCCTCCAGAAGTTGTGGGTGCTCCTTCACTGGAGGTTTTTAAGAAGAGACTGGACAGCCATTTGTCCGGAATAGTCTAGCTAGGGCAGTGGTTCTCAACCTGTGGGGTCGGGACCCCATTTGGGGTCGAATAACCATTTCACGGGGGTCGCCAAACAACGCAGTCCGCCATTTTTTCCCCCCTTTTCCTTAGCTGGGCTACTCCCTTTTATTCTATTGGCTTTGGAAAGCCAATAGAATAGACTCTCTTGAATAGAGTCTAATTCTATTGGCTTTCAAAAGCCAATAGGAATTGTCCAGGCTGTCTCTGCCCTGCTGAGCCCGCCAAAAGTCCTGGTCTGCAAACGGTGCTGCACCGGTTGAGTAGTCCTCGACTTACGACCGGTTGAGTAGTCCTCGACTTACGACCGGTTGGGGGATGCGGCATTGAGAACCAGTGGTATAGGGTTTCCTGCCTGAGCAGGGGGTTGGACCACTAGCAGACCTCCACGGTTTCTCCCCTATTATTCTATGGATGGATGGATGGATGGATGGATGGATGGATGGAAGGAAGGAAGGAAGGAAGGAAGGAAGGAAGGAAGGAAGGAAGGAAGGAAGGAAGGGCAATGGATGGAAACTAATCCAGGAGAGAAGCAACCTGGAATTAAGGAGAAACTTCCTAACAGTGAGGACAATTAACCAGTGGAACAGCTTGCCACCAGAAGTTGTGGGTGCTCCAACACTGGAGGTTTTTAAGAAGAGATTGGACAACTGTCTGTCTGAAATGGTTGAGGGCCTCCTGACTGAGCAGGGGGTTGGGCTAGATGACCTCCAAGGTCTCTTCCAACTCTGTTATTCTGTTAACTAACACAGAGGTCCTCAATCTTTTGGGCACCAGGGACCATTGATTCTGTGGAGAGAGGTTTTTCCATGGGTTGGAGAGTGGGTGGTTTTGTGTGCTGCCTACATCCCGCGGATGGGGCTTTGCTTGTTTGTGCGGACCGGTTGCTGACGTGCCGTAGCCTGGTATTGGGCCACGGCCCGAGGGTTGGGAACCCAGTAATGCAGGGGTAGGCAACCTTGGCTCTTTTATGACTCATGGACTTCAGCTCCCAGAATTCCTGAGCCAGCCATGCTGAGGGGAAAGGGAGAGGTTTCCAAGCTGGGCCATGCTGGCTCAGGAATTCTGGGAGTTGAAGTCCACCAGTCATGAAGGGGCCAAAGTTTCCCTCATGCTGGCTCAGGAATTCTGGGAATTGATGTCCATGAGTTGTGAAGGGGGCCATAGTTCCCCCATGCTGGCTCAGGAATTCTGGGAGTTGAAGTCCACAAGCCATAAAAGAGGTCATAGTTCCCCCATGCTGGTCAGGAATTCTGGGAGTTGAAGTCCACGAGTCATGAAGGGGGCCATAGTTCCCCCATGCTGGCTCAGGAATTCTGGGAGTTGAAGTCCACAAGTCATAAAAGAGCCAAGGTTGCCTACCTGTGCTATAGGCAGTCCTCAACTTAACAACCAATCATTTAGCGACTGCTGAAAGTTACAATGGGTGCCGGAAAAAGTGACCTACGACCGGTCCTCACACTTATGACCATCGCAGCCTCCCTATAGTTATAGGATCAAAATTCAGACACTTAGCTAGCATCTGACTCGTATTTGTGATGGTTGCAGCCTTCCAGATCATCGGATCGCCATTTCCCGCCTTCCCAGCTGGCTTCTGAGAAGGAGTGGAAAGCTAGATCCGTTTAATGACCTTGTGTTCACTTAACAACCATGGTGGGGGGGAAAGGGACTTAGGACCGTTTTTCACTCTTAATGACAATTGCAGCATCCCCCCTCCCAGAGTCATGTGATCAAAATTCAGATGTTTGGCAACCGACTAACTAACTAACTAACAAGGCTATGAAGGGACCCCTGCCATACTTGGCGCTTTGTCTTTTGCAGCAGCGGCAGCCTGGTCCTTGGGGCCTGCTGGTCCATGGCCCTCTACCTCTGCTTTCTCTTCTGGCTTGGCCTGTCCACCAGCCCCCTCTTCCTCTGGGCCAGGCTCTGCTTTGTCTCCTGGCTCTTCTGCCTCTTCCTGCCCATCTGTCTCTTCCACTTCCGTTCCTTTTGGAGCAAGGTCCTTCTCCACCGAGGGAGACTTGGGGACGGGTTCTTCCTCGTCGTCCAAGATCTTCTGCACCCGGGCGGCCACCTGGGAGGGCGTAGCCAGGATGGCCACTTCCGACTTGACTTCCTGAGCCGTTTCTTCTCCTTCCAAAAGGGGCTCAAGGGAGTTCATCGGATGATCTTCCGGAGCAGCTTCTTCACCAGCAGCTCTCTCCACTTCTTCAGTGGTGGGCTCCTCTTGAGACTCAGCCTCTGGCATTTCTGCTTGAGGTTCTTCTCCTTCATCTGGGGCGGCTGTTGGAGGAACATCTTCCGTCGCTGCTTCCAGCGGGCTGACCTGCTGCTCCATCTCGGCGCCTTCCAGCTCGTTGACGGCCGGTTCTCCGTTGGCGCCATGGGCTGCTTGCTCATCAGAAAGAATGCCCTTCAGCTTCCTGTTGAGGTAGAGGGCTTCCTGAGATAATGTACGCTCAGGGCTGGGTGGTTCCTCTGGAAGGTCCTCTTCATCGTCCGGCTCCAGGTTGCCCCAAAACTCCGTTAGGTCTATGTCGTCCAGTTCAGCGATGGGCCCTAAGAAAAAGAGGAAGCGCAGAGAACGTTGGCTTCGAATATAGATCTTCAGAGATGGAGGTTAGGACCACCTCGGCCCGGTCAACCCCTGTCCCGCTTACATTTTTTGGGGTTACAATAAATCTCCTTGGCCAGGTCCGAGCTGCTGCGGTAGAACTTATCCAGGAGGGACAAGACCTTCGCTCTGTCCAAGAGTCCTATCTAGGAGAAGAGAAGAACCGACATCGGGAGTAAGTCGACTTTTCGTGAGTTTGCTGGGCCTCCACCAAACCATGATGGGAGATCCTAGGAAACCCAGTGAAAACTTAGCTGTTCTACCAAGGAGGTGAGTTGCAAACTGGGAAGTGTGAAAATTGCCCATCTGTAAATAAGGGCAGAAACTGGACTTCTTTTATTTTGGGGAATAGAGATTAGACTAGACTAGACTAGACTAGACTAGACTAGACTAGACTAGATTAGACTAGAATAGAATAGGAATAGAGAATGGAATGGAGAATACAGAATAGAATAGAATAGAATAGAATAGAATAGAATAGAATAGAATAGAATAGAATAGAATAGAATAGAAGACAAGACTAGACTAGACTAGACTAGACTAGACTAGAGAATGGAATGGAATGGAGAATACAGAGTAGAATAGAATAGAATAGAATAGAATAGAATAGAATAGAATAGAATAGAAAATAGAAAAGAAAATAGAAAATAGAATAGAATAGAAAATAGAAGACTAGACTAGACTAGAATAGACTAGGCTAGAATAGTAGAAAATAGAATAGAATAGAAAATAGACTAGACTAGACTAGAATAGAACAGAATAGAATAAGAGAAGAGAAAGGAAAGGAATAGAATAGAATAGAATAGAATAGAATAGAATAGAATAGAATAGAATAGAATAGAATAGAGTAGAGTAGAGTAGAGTAGAATAGAATAGAATAGAATAGAATAGAATAGAATAGAAAATAGAATAGAATAGAAAATAGAAGACTAGCTAGACTAGAATAGACTAGAATAGAATAGAAAATAGAATAGAATAGAAAATAGACTAGACTAGACTAGACTAGAACAGAATAGAATAAGAGAAGAGAAAGAATAGAATAGAATAGAATAGAATAGAATAGAATAGAATAGAATAGAATAGAATAGAATAGAGTAGAGTAGAGTAGAGTAGAGTAGAGTAGAATAGAATAGAATAGAATAGAGAATGGAATGGAATGGAGAATACAGAATAGAATAGAATAGAATAGAATAGAATAGAATAGAATAGAATAGAAAATAGAATAGAATAGAAAATAGAAGACTAGCTAGACTAGAATAGACTAGAATAGAATAGAAAATAGACTAGACTAGACTAGACTAGAACAGAATAGAATAAGAGAAGAGAAAGAATAGAATAGAATAGAATAGAATAGAATAGAATAGAATAGAATAGAGTAGAGTAGAGTAGAGTAGAGTAGAGTAGAGTAGAATAGAATAGAATAGAATAGAATAGAGAATGGAATGGAATGGAGAATACAGAATAGAATAGAATAGAATAGAATAGAATAGAATAGAAAATAGAAGACTAGCTAGACTAGACTAGACTAGACTAGACTAGACTAGACTAGAATAGAATAGAATAGAATAGAATAGAGAATGGAATGGAGAATACAGAATAGAATAGAATAGAATAGAATAGAATAGAATAGAATAGAATAGAATAGAATAGAATAGAATAGAAGACAAGACTAGACTAGACTAGACTAGAGAATGGAATGGAATGGAATGGAGAATACAGAGTAGAATAGAATAGAATAGAATAGAATAGAATAGAATAGAATAGAAAATAGAAAAGAAAATAGAAAATAGAAGACTAGACTAGACTAGAATAGACTAGGCTAGAATAGTAGAAAATAGAATAGAATAGAAAATAGACTAGACTAGACTAGAATAGAACAGAATAGAATAAGAGAAGAGAAAGGAATAGAATAGAATAGAATAGAATAGAATAGAATAGAATAGAATAGAATAGAATAGAATAGAATAGAATAGAGTAGAGTAGAGTAGAGTAGAGTAGAATAGAATAGAATAGAGAATGGAATGGAATGGAGAATACAGAATAGAATAGAATAGAATAGAATAGAATAGAAAATAGAATAGAATAGAAAATAGAAGACTAGCTAGACTAGAATAGACTAGACTAGAATAGAATAGAAAATAGAATAGAATAGAAAATAGACTAGACTAGACTAGAATAGAACAGAATAGAATAAGAGAAGAGAAAGGAATAGAATAGAATAGAATAGAATAGAATAGAATAGAATAGAATAGAATAGAATAGAGTAGAGTAGAGTAGAGTAGAATAGAATAGAATAGAATAGAATAGAATAGAATAGAATAGAATAGAATAGAGAATGGAATGGAATGGAGAATACAGAATAAAATAGAATAGAATAGAATAGAATAGAAAATAGAATAGAATAGAAAATAGAAGACTAGCTAGACTAGAATAGACTAGACTAGAATAGACTAGAAAATAGATTAGAATAGACTAGAATGGAACAGAATAGAATAAGAGAAGAGAAAGGAATAGAATAGAATAGAATAGAATAGAATAGAATAGAATAGAATAGAATAGAATAGAATAGAATAGAATAGAAAATAGACTAGACTAGACTAGAATAAAACAGAATAGAATAAGAGAAGAGAAAGAATAGAATAGAATAGAATAGAATAGAATAGAATAGAATAGAATAGAATAGAATAGAATAGAATAGAATAGAATAGAGCTGGAAGGGACCTTGGAGGTCTTCTAGTCCAACCCCCTGCTCAGGCAGGAAGCCCTATAGGTCTCCGGCTCGAGCAGGGGGCTGGACTAGAAGACCTCCAAGGTCCCTTCCATCTCTGTTATTCTGTCTTCTCTAAGGAGCCGCCGGCTGTACCTGTGCATATTCGCAATCCAAGAACAGCTGGACGAACATCTGCCTCCAGACGTCGTGTCGGATGGCGTTGCGGGCATTGTGAGACGATTGGAGCAGATGCTTCAGCAACTCCTGGAACAGCTCGCTGGTGAAGTTTTTGACGTAAGAAAGGAGATACTGGGGGGGGGGGGAAAGAAGGAGGAAAACAGTATCGCGTTTTGTTCCCCGGTTAATTCGCTTCTCCTGGCTTCCCACCTTTCCCGCCGCATTCATATTCTCCCAAGGAATTCGGGGCGCCATAGGCAGGGGGGTCCTCAGCTTACGACCTCAATGGGGATCTGAATCTCTGTTGCTAAATGCGGCAGCCGTTAAGTGAGTCTCACACACACACACACACACACACCCCGATTGCGCAGCGAATCACTGCAGTTGCTTAAGTGAATTGTGCCGGATATCGCAGTTGTAGAGAACCGAAGTGTACAGCTGATTGATATCGCTGTACCAGGAGATGCCAGAGTCGAAGAAAAAGAACTGGAAAAAAATGACAAAATATCGCAGTCTCTTCCTAAAACCCTCCAGACATGGAGCACCCACAACTTCTGGAGGCAGGTTGTTCCACGGGTTAATTGTTCTCATTGTCAGGAAGTTTCTCCTTAGTTCTAGGTTGCTTCTCTCCTTGATGAGTTTCCATCTGTTGCTTCTTGTCCTGCCTTCAGGCGCCTTGGAGAACAGCTTGACTCCCTCTTCTTTGGGGCAGCCCCTGAGATATTGGAAGGCTGCTATCCTGTGCTCCCCTCATCCTTCTCTTCATTAAAATAGACAGACCCAATTCCAGCAGCCGTTCCTTATAGCTGCATTTCCCACTTCTGTATCATCTCAACTCTTTGTAGAGGAGAGGGTCCCAAGCCCACCATCTCTCCTGGGAAAATGTTACTCCTCCTCCTCCTCCCCCCTCCCCCTCCTCCTCACCTCTACGAATTCCTCTTGGTTCACCTTCACATCCAGCGTTGCCAGAGTTTCCAGCGGCCTGGCATAGATGTCTGCACAATGGAAAAACAACTTGTTGTCCGTGAGATGGAGTGAAAGACTCGGCAGGAAGGGGGGTTTTGAGGACCCCAATGGGGGAAGAGGGATTAGTAGGGACCCCACAGGGCACTCTTAAGGCAAAAGGGCTTTTTGATCATTGTTTGAGCTGGCTGTTCCTTGATCGGGGTATTGTAGAATAGAATAGAATAGAATAGAATAGAATAGAATAGAATAGAATAGAATAGAATAGAATAGAATAGAATAGTATAGAATTTGAAATAGAACAAGACAGAATAGAATAGAATTTGAAATAGAACAGGACAGAATAGAATAGAATAGAATAGAATAGAATAGAATAGAATAGAATAGAATTTGAAATAGAATAGAATAGAATAGAAGTAATGATAAGAATAGAATAGAATAGAATAGAATAGAATTATGAAAGAATAGAATAGAATAGAATAGAATAGAATAGAATAGAATAGAATAGAATAGAATAGAATAGAATAGAATAGAATAGAAATAATGATTAGAAGAATAGAATAGTGTAGAATAGTATAGAATTTGAAATAGAACAGGAGAGAATAGAATTTGAAATAGAACAGGACAGAATAGAATAGAATAGAATAGAATAGAATAACAGAGTTGGAAGGGACCTCGGAGGTCTTCTAGTCCAACCCCCTGCTCAGGCAAGAGACCCCATATCATTTCAGACAAGTGGCTGTCCAGTCTCTTCTTAAAAACCTCCAGTGATGGAGCGCCCATAACGTCTGGTGACAAGGAGTTCCACTGGTTAACTGTCCTCACTATTAGGAAGTTTCTCCTTAATTCTAGGTTGCTTCTCTCCTAGATTAGTTTCCATCCGTTACCCTGCCTTCAGGTGCTTTGGAGAATAGGTGGGACCCCCTCCCTTTTTGTGGCAACCTCTGAAATACTGGAATATGGCTATCATGTCCTCCACGGTCCTTTTCGCTCTCTCTAGACTGGCCAAGCCCAAATCCCACAACCGGATAGGTCGGTGTACTTTTACCTGTTTCCTTGAACTGAGGCATTTGGCTGATGACCTCCAAGAAGGACTTCAGGGCGCTCTGGATCTGCCAACGGAAACACAATTTCTTAAGGGCTGACGCACACACTTTTCTCATCCATTCTAATTGTGCAGGTTGCAGACATGGAGCTGCTCTAAGCCAGAACATTCAGAGGTCTACTATGACCACCCAATAGAGTCTATTGGGCCGCTGGTCCCTGGGCATGGTGGACCTCTGGATGGCCTATGCCAGGGGTAGGCAACTTTGGCTCTTTTATGACTCGTGGACTTCAACTCCCAGAATTCCTGAGCCAGCATGGGGGAACTATGGCCCCCTTCATGACTTGTGGACTTCAACTCCCAGAATTCCAGAGCCAGCATGGGGGAACTATGGCCCCCTTCATGACTTGTGGACTTCAACTCCCAGAATTCCTGAACCAGCATGGGGGAAACTATGGCCCCCTTCATGACTTGTGGACTTCAACTCCCAGAATTCCTCAGCCAGCATTGGGGAACTATGGCTCCCTTCGTGACTTATGGACTTCAACTCCCAGAATTCCTGAGCCAGCATGGGGGAACTATGGCCCCTTCATGAATCGTGGACTTCAACTCCCAGAATTCCTGAGCCAACATGGCTCAGCTTGGAAACCTCTCCCTTTTCCCTCAGCAAGGCTGGCTCAGGAATTCTGGCAGTTGAAGTCCACATCACAAAAGAGCCAAGGTTGCCTACCCCTGACCTATGCCCTACGGACTTAAATGTGATATGACTCATTCCATTTACCCATGTTTCCCTGAAAATAAGACCGGGTCTTGTTGTTTTTTTGCCTCCAAAAGAGGCACCAGGTCTTATTTTCAGGGTAGGCCTTACCTCACCTCCGGCACCGACAGCACCACCCAGCCGGTTCACTTCTTCTGGAGCTGAAGTTCTGCAGCTGTATTCGGGCCTGCATTTTGCAGTCAGGCCTTTTCGGAAGGCCTCTGCAGCCGAGTACCAAGCTATGGATTCAATCCATAGCTCGGTTGTCAGCTGCAGTGGCCTTTCCAGAAATGCAGGCCTGAAAGAGAAATGCAGGCCTGGCTGCAGAAGAAGCCTCAGAAGAAGAAGTGGGCCGGTGAGGAGAGGTCTGGCTGCCACGGTAAGCGGGTGCTGGGCACGTGGGGCAGATCCACACACAGCCCACACCTGCCCTAGCTTGATTTTTAGGAGTGTGCCCTGTCCCAAAACTAGGGCTTATTTTGGAGGTGGGGCTTATATTAGGCCCACCCCCCAAAAAAATCTAGGGCTTATTTTCGGGGTAGGCCTTACTTTCGGGGAAACAGGGTATATACCCCCCTGCTCATTCCACAACTCAGGACGATAGACGCCATCAATATAGGTCATCCTCGGGTTACGGGCCATTATGGAGCTTGCCCAGTACAGGCGTAACTCGTGATAGTTATAAATTGTGGCCAAGCTGATTTTACAATTGTTTTTGGCAGAAGTCGTAAAGTGAACGATGTGGTTGTTAAATGAACCAATAGTTTGCTATGGAGACTAGGTAACATCGTCAGTACTGGAAGGGAGAGGAGGAGGAGGAGGAGGAGGAGACAAAGAGAACGAGGAGGAAGAACATAAAGAAGAGGAGGTTCTTGGTCTTTCTGAGTTTGGTGGTTTTTTTGAAGACATTTCATGACCCAAGTAGACAACATCATCAGTGCTAGAAGAAGTATGTGTGGAGAGCAGGAGGAGGAGGAGGAGGAGGAGGAGGAATATGAAGAGGAGGACTGTGGGGTCCTTGGTGTTCTCTGAGCTTGGTGGTTTTCTTGCGGACATTTCATGACCCAAGTAGACAACATCATCACTGCTAGAAGGGGTGTGTGTGGAGAGGAGAAGGAGGTGGAGGAGGAGGAAGAGGGGACAAAGAGAATGAGGAGGAAGAACATAAAGAGGAGGACTGAGAGGTTCTTGGTCTAAGTTTGGTGGGTTTTTTGAAGACATTTCATGACCCAAGTAGACAACATCATCAGTGCTAGAAGGGGTGTGTGTGTGGAGAGGAGGAGGAGGTGGAGGAGGAGGAAGAGGAAGAGGAGGAGAACGAGGAAGAAGCATATGAAGAGGAGGACTGTGGGGTCCTTGGTGCCCTCTGAGCTTGGTGATTTTCTTGTAGACATTTCATGACCCAAATAGAGAACATCATCAGTGCTAGAAGGGGTGTGTGTGGAGAGGAGAAGAAGATGGAGGAAGAGGGGGAGGGAGAGGAGGACTGTGGGGTTCATGATGCTCCCCACGCTTGGTAGTTTTGCTGTTTCATCACCAAACTAGGTCACATAGTCAGCGCTAGAAGGGAGCGGGGCTCGCTTCATGTTTATATGCAAGGGGCTTGCCTTGTCAGTGCGGGCGGGAGTGGATTTGTTGCTTAAGCTGTGGTTTACTGTTTGAGTTGGTGGTACCTTGATTGGGGGGTTTGTATATTTCTTGATGGTTGGTCTGATATTAATCATGGTGTTAATCTCTGGGTATTGGCTGCTGATGGGGAGGGGTTTTGGCCTTTTTTGTCTTTTGAGTGGTATGTAGATGTTGTCTATCTCTATGTGCCTGTTGATGGCTGATGGACCTTCCAGGAATTCTCTAGCACATTTGCATTTGGTTCCATTTGGGATGCTCGCAGTTTCCCAGTTGAAACTCTGCTGAAGTCTGTCCGTCTAAAATTAAGAATTTTTCATAACCAGGCAGGTTTCTATTTTATTTATCTCTCTCTACATACTCTCATGTCTGTAACCGGTGGTGGGATTCAGCCGGTTCGCACCGGTTCGGTAGAACCGGTAGCTAAATTTTGCTGAGTTTGTAGAACTGGCTGAATGCACACTGCTTCCGGAAGTCTAGTCTAGGCCTCAGAGACCTGGTGGAGGCCTCCCAGGCCTAGAGCAGCCCATGCGGAAGTGCATGGATGCCACTTCTGGAAGTGTTCTAGGCCTCCGAGGCCTGAAGGAGGCCTCCCAGACCTAGAACGGCCCGCTGGAAGTGTGTGGATGCCACTTCTGGAAGTCTGTTCTAGGCCTTGGAGGCCTGGAGGAGGCCGCCCAGGCCTAGAACGGCCCGCCGGAAGTGCATGGTTGCCACTTCTGGAAATGTTCTAGGTCTCCGAGGCCTGAAGGAGGCCTCCCAGGCCTAGAACAGCCCGCTGGAAGTGTGTGGATGCCACTTCTGGAAGTACGTTCTAGGCCTTGGAGGCCTGGAGGAGGCCGCCCAGGCCTAGAATGGCCTACTGGAAGTGCGTGGATGCCACTTCCGGAAGTCCGTTCTAGGCCTCGGAGGCCCAGGGCTGTATCCAATAAGAGAAGCGGTTGTTCAGGTATTGGAATCCCACCACTGTCTGTAACCTGTGGCTGGGCAAAACGACGCATCGTACGGCAAAATGTTTTTTTTTGTTTTTTTATAATATTTTATTAATTTTCCAATTTTACATTTGAATATTTAAAAAGCAACGTGGTGACTGGGTTAATCGATAGCTCAATAACAAAATCTTAGTGCAGATCTCAGGCTACAACATCAAATATTTCTTCTCTTTTTCCCTTAACAATTACTATCTCATGTTCAGGTTGGTACATTTCTAATTATATCAATTCAACAAGAACATCATTATTACATTTATCGATAATTTTTTAGGAAGTGACAACACTGAAAATGGAAATGACTTTCTATATGATTTCAGAAGAAATTTGAGAAAGAAGCAGAACAGATTGAATTGCAGACAAATATATTAGAGCAAGCATGGGGAACTGGAATAAAAGGGAGACAATTTAACGAATACAAATGGGCTAGTCCTTCCAGAAAACTGGCAATCAAATGGTCTCCTTTAATTCAAATAACATATAGGAGACTAGAGATAGATGATTTAAAGGCACTGATATGGAAGCCTAGTGGCAAAAGAAGAAAGCTAGAATAAGGTTGAAAAAACTGGGATTTTGACTCATTAGAGGGGATTTTATATTGCCAATTAGTGGATTAAAGGGAGATGTTGAGACAAGGGGAAATTTGGTTATTAGAATTAAAATATTTGGAAACCAGTGGAAAATAAGGATTTTATCGGTTTAATATTTAAAAATTAGACCTAAAAGGGAAAAGAAAATTAAATATTATGAATATGTTTGATTTATTGATTAACCCAGGCAATATATATAATGGTTTTGATTTATTAAGGGGGATATTGTTTTATTAAGTAGATGATTTAATATGGTGGGAGATAGATAGAACAAGATTATATTTAAATAGACAAAATGTGTATTTTGGATATCATAGTTTGCTATGAAGTGAGATAAGGAAAATTTTGGTTACCCAAAGTCTGAAAAAATTATAAATATCAAAGGTTAAATTGGAAGATTGATAAGAAATTAAAAATTGAGTAAAATTCAATAACAGGATATGGATGGTTTTTGAAGGTTGAATGTCATTAAAATGTTTTGAACCCAGGTATCTGAAATGGACGGATTTACAGAATACATCAAAAATCCCAGAGCTACGATTCACGTGGATCTGAAATTTGGCAAAGTCTATAATCCCGCTTAGGATGTAAGCGTGATCATCAAGCATTTTGTGACGCAGTGCAGAAATGTCACAAAGCATTTCCTGTGGTGAAATGCTGATGTTTGACTGTGCTACGCAGTTCAAGCTCAGCGACTTTCAAGGCAATTACAACTCTGATTATCTCCCTGGATTTTTTTTTAGAACATTCAGGCCCATTAGAAGAGGGGTCCCCGACACACACACCCCCGGGTCGCAGCCTGTTTGAAACTGAGCTGGGGAGAAATGGACAAGCAAATGCGCATGAAGCTCTATTCTATTCTATTCTATTCTATTCTATTCTACTCTGTTCTATTCTATTCTATTCTATTCTATTCTATTCTATTCTATTCTATTCTATTCTCCATACTCCATAGTCCTCAGGAATTCTGGGAGTTGAAGTTCACAAGTCATAAAAGAGCCAAGGTTGCCTACCCCTGGTCTATAGTCTATAGTTTATAGTCTATTCCAAGGCTTTTCAACCAGTGGTACAGGTAGCATCTGTGGCACATTGGCACCTGGCAGGT